ACGTACTAAATGCGGCCTCACGCAATTTACTAGTAAATGCAAGAAAAGATTTTATGCAACAGCCGAGTTTACCTCTCAAACAAAGGACACATTAACCATAAATTTGTTTGGGGACTATACCATCTCATTTCAAAGGGTTATTTAGATATAAAATATGACATTTTTAACTCAGTTTGTAATCCAACCCAGTATAACTATAGCGGCTAAAAATTTTGTAGATCATCTAGTAGAGGAGCGAACCTGCAGCGAGTGATTCAAGGCAGCTATCCTAATTCAGTAAATAGATATATTGGCTGCAAAATTCGAAATTTGTTTTTTACCACAATGTAGTTATCTGAAAGAAAGAACAGTGGAAACAGGAAATGTTCCTGTTTAGAACCAGGGTAAGTTTATTGATAACGACCCTAAATGTTACACCCTTAGGGTCAAGAAAGGCGTTCACATAAGACTTTCATTCCAATAACATCAATAGGGATAACAGTATCAAAGTACCTAAAGCAAGGACGGCCACAATCAGACAACAAAACAGCTGATCAGCAACAAAGAGCACCTGTGGGGGAACAAAAGCTGCTTGTCAGAGTAATAATGAGGATCGAAACGCACCAATGACAGCACACCAAAACGTACCAATGACCACAAACTCAGGTCTGATTTAGTTTGTGTCATGCTTTGACTTATTATTATATTAAATTCCGTGAAATATGAGTTTCTTTTTCATATTTCGAACTAATAATTATAGTTAAAAGCGCATGCTTAAATCTTTCATTTTGTGCCTTTAAATTGCCTTTCATCAATTTGAGTTTATTGCATCTTTATCAACAGATCTAAGAATTTGTGTTAATAACATACTGAGGGAAAATGGTATCGAAGGGTGTGAAAGACAAGATGACAACAATCTCGTCACAATAGACAACGAAAAAAATCAATACTATTTTACAAAATTTGTCACTATTTTCACAAGATGTTAATGATAGTCAATGTGCATGTCTTGCAAAACGAGGCGTTTGAGAACAGAGTACGTAGCAGTTTTTGAAAATTAAAAGAATACCAGGAATATTATCAGAAACACTAAAATCTGCGAGTGGGTTTTTGAGTTCTTGGCAGCCCTTACTAAAAGATGCATCACGAGCTATGATATCAACAGAATAGCCTGGTCTCACTTTCCTCCTAAAGGTAGCCCACAGAGCGCTACTTATGCAACCTTGGTGATAAGGATGTTCCAACGAGAAGAGGTGTCTCCCATTTGTTGGAGATTTGTGGCATACATCACAGCGGCATTGAAAAAACCGTCTCGACTCACTTCTACCTCCATTTCCTCTGTTCCTAATATCCTTACCGCGCTTCACCCTCGATAAACCCGACCTTGGGTGAAGTGAAGAAACTTTCATCCCATCACGTTCAGGATATCATGTCTTTATATCTACCATCATCTTTCGAGCATTGTAGGTCCATTTCAATGTCAAGAAAGTAATATTTAGTGGATTTATGGATGAAGATCAACAAACAGAAGGTAGGGGCTTTTTGGATGGAGATCAAGTGAAATACTGCAAGAACCTTGCGAGTTACTTGACTTGAGCTTTTCCTTCATTTAGCTTAAAGATTCCCTATGAGAGACAACGCCTCTTCCAATTTCTGTCAATTTATGACAGCAATGGCCTAAAGCTTGTATACATTCTCAATACTCTTCTTTGGTATAATCGGGCCTCAGTTATCATGACTTTTCGATTATCCGAATTTATTTGTCTAGTCCCATTTCTTTGATGAATATTTACAAGGCACGATGAAGATCCCTAAAAACTATGATTATGAATTATTTCTAATTAAGATTTTAAGGTCTAAGTTATAGTTATATAGAAAAAGGTTTGTTTCCTTTCGAAGAGAAAACGTTTCGACCAGATATTTTGGCATAAAGTTGAATTCCACGATGCAGTAAGCTATTGCTCTTACCCTTAATTCCAACTTCTAAATTGTTTCAGTTTCATTTTGTCTCGTTTAATTAATATTTTCGATTACCTCGACTCTCGATTATCCGGGCTATTTACTCCAGTCCCTACAAGTCCGGATAAGCGGAGTTTGACTGTATTAGACTTCATCTGAAATCAACAAATATCAAGAGCAACATGTTATTTAGAATAGAACACGATTTAAGCTGTCTGCAGGGAACTAAGCTCGTTCTAAGCAAGGCATCACCTAAATCTTTTTTGAAAATAGCATGGTATTCAAACTAACAGGTCATCATTTTTGAACTCGTATTGCAAAAGTTTACAAGATGTTTTCCTTACTAAAAGCTTACATAAACCTTTATTAAGTGTATTTCTAAATAAAAGCCTTTTTTTTTACGATAGACAAAACAATGAAGTTTCAAACTCATTGAAATTGAGAATTACTGTTCAACTTCAACCTCACCAGATCGCGCTCAAAACGTGGGTTGCTTACGCGGCTCACATCCATTAGCCCACGTGAAGCCCTCGTGCAGTGCCTAGCCGTGTGCCCGTGGTACGCTACACTGAAGCTCGAAACTCGAGAATGCGCACTTTATTGTCATCTATCCAAGTTACGCGCGCAATCGCGCCTGCGCATTACCTTCTCCCTCGTCCTTCCATTAGGTAATGGCTAAGAGGTACAGTGATACAGTTGGCCGCGCATGCTAAAAGTAGCACCTTGTACGGTCGGTCATACGGTCGCACGTCCAAATTTTTTCGGCTTGATGGGTTACTACTATTTCGTATAATTAGCTCCGCTATAAAGAAGTGAAAGGTAAAGAATGAAAATCGAGTGTTCCAAAGACTGGTCAGGAAGAAAAGAAAAAAGCATAGGATGTTATTATCAGTGTTGGTCTTATGGAGCGGATTGAAAAGGAGCTGGTTCTTAAAGCCAAAAGAGGAAAGAAGTTATCTTTATGAGTGTCGCCAAATGTGAGCTACAATGCTCATCGCAATCAAGCAGAAGAGAAATGGAACGACTTCCATAGCAATATATATGAGGAGAGTCAGCCGTATAACTAAGTATACGAAGATGGATCCAAAGATCTCTTTCTTCCTGGTTCTGAGAGAGAATTATTCACATTAAGCAGATATCAAGAAGTATGAAAAGATTTTAAACTTTGACCTTGAGATATCAGATTGATCAAGTGATTTCGTAAAAGATGTTGACAATGTTCTTAAGACTGCATTAGAAGTTGAGTTACCTGCTGAGTGTGCAAGGTGCCACAATGCCACTGATCTCACAACAGACGCCGATGAGATTACAAATCGTCAAGTTGCCAGTCAGAGTGCAAATCAGACTGAAATTGATGTTTTTAGCGAGCGTGGGATAAAGAACAAATTCTGAGTTCCCATGAGGAATCGAACCTCAGACCTTTGGAGTTCGCGTTCCGATGCTCTACCACTGAGCCATAGAGACTGTTTGGTGAGTGGGGTCTATTACAAAGTTCATGTGACACGCGTCCTGCATACTGTTAGGATCAACAATGTCGATAGCGTCATGTTTGTAAATAGAATAAGTAGAGATGGTAAGTTTTGAGCTGGGTAAAGAAATAGAGAAAGATGTTTTTCGTCTTGTCACGAGCGTGGGGCAAAGTAAAAAAATCCAATGGAAATTTCACAGGAAACAGTAAACATGACCATAAAATGAGAATGTATGGAAACCAAAAAAGATCCTTAAATGACTTATAAGATATTCAACTGTCCCCAGTAAGCAGCGAAAAGGGAGAAAGTAGCGACATCCAAACACCTTTAACGCGTCTGACGGTTAATATTGACCATTTATTTTGATGATTGACGGTAAAAACTTGTCATTTTTGACGGCTAACGTTTGCATTTTAGGCCCTTTGACGGATGACGGTTAAATCGCATTGTGTAAAGTCTAGCTACTGCTGACCTTGCATTTAGTACATATCAGACTGGTAAACAGTGGAGACTTTGAAAACAGGTTAAAATGATTGGTAAAGTGTTATCTTGTGCAGGGGTGGCAACTTTAACGTTTTGGGAACGAACGGCTGGTCCCCGAGGATCCACCGGTTCTAAGTAAACGCTGCTTTTGACAATTCCACGCAATCCAAGTTAGCTAAAATTTGGCAAATATGTTATGAGAGAAAATTCCGTCAGAAGTGTCATTTCAATCCGAATCGCCTGACTATGGGTAATTGCAACTTTAACCCCAAGCAAGACGGAGTATTTGTATGCCCCGCCCTATTACAGCCTTACGGATGGTCAATTTCAAAGGTCGCGATGATCGGCATTCAAATCGGAGTTATCAAACTAAAATAGCAGATAAGGTGATTAAATACATAGGAATCATAATACATTAATACACAGGGGCCTTGTGCATTCTGTCACCTCTTATACTCATTATTGCTCCATGGGAGCCTAATATAACGGCCTAGCTCAAAGAATTTAAACAAAAAGATTTAGAAATCTAATCACTTCTAGTTGCTTAATCGTTGTGACTTTTTCCGAAAAATTGTAATTCTTGTCGGAACGGCAGAACCTTTACTTCCGGTAAAAGATTTCAGTAGGGAGGACATTGGAATTAATTTTTTGTTGTTGACGTTACTCACTTGGGAAGATATGGCAAGAACTGCACCCAAAGTTTTCCCTAATTAATTGCAAAGAATAAGATAAATTCTGGTGGTTTAAAAATCCTATTCTACTTCTTCCACACGAATATATATAGTTCATTGCAAAAACTTTGAAACCTACGAAGCGTTTAAACTGAAAGATGAGAGGCTACGGCTTTATAAGTCAGATGTGTATGATAACCACCATTAGTTGCATCATCTATATTGGTTCATGCTTTTTAGGTGTCAGGGACTGTTAACGTTTTTGCAATCGAATGTGTATTGTGTATAATACGTATATACATGTAATTCTTATTATGAGTCAAGTGCTTTACAACATCATCAACTGTGCCCTGAGCGTTTAGTTTGTTTTTGTGTTTTCTAAGGACTTAAAATGGGTTGTGTATTAGTAAGGCTATAATTCTAGAACTAACGTGACAGGCACTTTTATTAAAAATCCATCGAAAGCATGGATATCGATATAACAAAAATCAAGAAAAAACACCAAAATCACACGTATAGACATGGTATAATAACAATTTCTAATTTATGACGTAGACACTCGGATTTATGAACGAAATGAGCATATAACAGGTCGAACCGACGCATTAAACACTACGTACTTCAGCTTCATTTTATGTTTTAGAAAACACTCTAAGGAAAATTCTCTCACTCCCTAAATTATGATTCTGATGGGCGAAGCATCTCTAAGGGATGCTAAAAGTCGTTTTTTATCTGCCTTCCTATTCAACTTATATTTTAAGCCATCGTTAGTAGCACAAAATCAGTTAATTGAGCAGTGGAGTAGTTGTCAACACTGTTAGCAGGTTTCTGTTCTTAATATCTTTAACCGTTGGCATCATTGCAATGCTATTTCTAACATGTATTTCTTGGATCTTTAGGTTTAAAGGCAGATGATTTACCCATCTCATTAAGAACAGTTCAAGGTGTTCCTCGAAATCTTTCCGCTCTCTCATTAACTCGCGTTATTGAGTTTTCTCGCCAATGCCTACTGAGCTACATACCTGATCCAAAAGGTTGCATAGAAAAATATTAGCACATATATGTCAATCATCAGTCTATCAGGAACATAACTGCATAATTACCCAATCTAAACAACTAAAACCCTGAAGCTTCTACCAAAAGAGCTATTCTAAGCTTAAAGCAGTTTTAAATGGCTTCGTTATCCGTGTCAAAGGCTTGCTCGTTAGTATAACACTTTTCTTCCTCTCGGTGATTGTCGAAATGACCCTTGACTTTATGAAGCTCGACGCCGTCGTCTTCGTTGCAGGCAACCGTATTTCTTTTCAGCACTTGCTTTGAATTGCACTTTCTGAAACGTTATAAGCAGTCAGAATATGAAATATAATTATTTACGTGTTCTTCTCTTTTCTGGGGCTGTATGAAATTTCAAGTCCTTCATTTGTCGGTATCGGGTGATGTCACATTTTCGACAACTGTTTTATATTGAACAGGTTCAAAAACCTAGACACACGAAAGATAAATCGGAAAAAGGGCGATGTGATTAGAGTAAGACAGGAAATTATTTAGGATAAGGACTTAAATGCCAATTGCCTTTTTTGATGGTGATTATGATGAAACGAGAAAATAGTTTACAATCATTTGAAAATTTTGCACGCACGCGATTGGTCAAAATGCATCAGTTGCCCCAGCTAAACTTCGGGAAATCCGAGGATATACACCAACTGATACTGAATTGAATTCAAGGCGATAAAGCGTTTTCCTGTTTTTATAGATGATGGGATATGTTTGTTCGTTTATAAAGTCGTACTAGAGAACACTGAAAACTAAACATCTCAAACAGTAATCGCTAAGCTGTTTGTAAACATATTTAACGCGTTTTACAAAAATATAGGAAGGATGCTAAACGCAATAGCATCCATTTGGCGCGAAATATGTCCATTTATGTGTCCTTGGACATAATCTGTTCCTCGAAGCTCACAGTAATTGTCAAGCTTCGTTCTGGAAACTGTTCGCATCTCGGAACAAACGATGTATTGGGGACAAATGGAGGCTATTGTTTATATAACATAATAAGACGAGGTTCTCATTTTAAACTGGTTACACAGTGACGAAAGTGAATGAAACTCACCTGCAACATCCCAAAACACAAAGTATGATGGCCAATATAACCCCAGCTGCTGCCCCACCAATAATGAAATAGCCTATCGTTGTTTCTTCATGATGAACTTTTGGAGTCTCTGTGAAACTGCTCTCAGTGGAAGGGTCGGGGTACGCAATCTTTAGGTTAACAACTGACACGTTCAGGGCCTTTTCCAAATTTTCACGAGATGAATTTATGACTGTCAGCAAAATATTTTTATCCAGGGTAGAAGGAGAGTCACTGGACACTCCAGGTGGAAACTGGACGTAGATCGCAACTCGAATCTGCATAAGATAAGGGGTTCGCCCTGGATAACCTGGAAGAAGATGGACTTGATCTGACGTGAAAAGTATGTAGTCTAGTGCCCTCCTGAAATCAAAACCATACCATCTTCAGCTTGAGAGAGGTAGAGGAACAATTGAACTAAACAGAAAAATGGCCATGACCAGATTTTATTGAAAAAACTCATCTTATTTTGTTGACAATAGAATGAATTCTGTCGTCAAATGTGCAATTTACTTCTAGTTCTAGGCCCACTTGTTCGAAGACTGATTAGCACTAACCCTGGTTGAAATTTAATCTGTGTTTCTTGACCCCTTTCAAAAGCTTTTTTCAGATAATTTTCTCTATTCTATTTAGAGCATTAAAGCAACAAATTGTAGTCAAAAAGAATGATGATGAATTTTCTTATAAAGCTTTCAGATCTGACATCAGATTCACCCTGAGTTATCTTAACCCAGCTTTGAAAAATCCCAGCCCTGTTGCTATCCCAAATCAATAAAATAGCCTTAGTAAATTTTCAGTCGGTAACTAATTTTTACTATAACAAATGTTACTGGGTTTGGGGGCATACATCTCATTTAGTCGAAAAACGAAATTAGTGGAAAAATTTAGTTATGCTTAGGCTTGGCAGTGATATAATAACCTTTTTCGAAGCGCTGTGATCTCACAGTCTCTGCTTTCCCCACAGAAAGTGGTAACAGAATCTGCAACTGCACCTTTGAAGACTTGCTCTACGGGCAGATTCCACTGAATAATTGTAAAAGAACAAGGTTGATAAATATATGAAAAAAATGATATTCTGAGTGTTGTAGTAATTATGGCAAATTCAATAAGATGCGTCCTTTGGAGAAAGACAAATTTTTCCTGCATTTTTCAAAAACTAGAGGTTTCTTTTTTCGGGAAATATCTTCAGTATTCATGCAGTTCCCTAAAGGCTATTCAACATATTTGAAATTTTAAATTAATCTACTCTCGTGCACCCAGACAGGCGCAACAATTTTTCTTTTTTTTTCTCGGAAACGTTAACTTTTGTCATCCAAACAACTGGCGAGAATTCTGATCATCGCAGTTTAAAACCTAGCTTTACCTGATTTTTCAAACCTTTTCCCTTCTCAAAAATGAACCGCATTACCGCATAAAATAAAAATGTACGAGAGCAAATGGAAGTGCCTTCACTGTCTTTATGTAATGAAAAGAATTTTACATGGTCACGAGAAGATACGATATGTTTCTTCTCACTAAAAAAATTTTCACTTGTGGGGTTAGCTCACTCATTAGAATGGACATTTCATGTTTCCACGTGGCCATTAACATCCCCTATCTGATAATGACTTTAAACATGTTCTATTCGTATCACATTCAAGTGAAAGGCAATACCTGAGATAAGTTGAGTCCTTTAATTGTGATAATAATCGCTTGACGTTTTTCAATCGAGGACGGAATTCTTGGAGTCGGTGCTGGCGGTGGAGGAGGTGGTTTTTCATCCTTGTCCAAACCTTGAGTGGAACGAACAAACAAAACGTTATGAATAAAGTCTGTAACATCATCACAAGAGAAGTCGAGTCGACATTCGAAGTTTTGAGGTACCCTTGGAATGATTTGCGTTTAGTAGTTATCCTCAGGCTCATTACTTGAATTAAATGTACAGTGATAAATTTTAAATCCTCTCAACGAGTAATAATTTTAAAAGTCCGAGTGCTTCCAAATAAGCCATTTACACTTTGGTACAACATCTCTTGCGATGTCTAAATAATTTGAGCAACTTATACCGCATTCACACTAAAGCTTAAACATGTTTTAAAGCTGTCTTGTTACATACGGTTTAAAATTTTTTTCTTCATAGAGGCTAAAAAACAGTGTTCGAATTCAAATCGAGGACATTAAAAAAAAAAGTTAGTGATTAAAACCTAGGTAAGAATTCTGTATTTAAGATCTCTTTTTCTCAATTTGAAACCGGTTAACTGAATTTTTTTTCGGTGTTAATGGGGTATAAAACATACCTCAACATTACCTTTCCTTTGGGAAATTAAAAATCATTAAGAGAAATTTTTTTTGTGAAGAAATCCATTGAAAGGTTTTTGGTATTCATTAAACAAGAGTTTTTAAGCATTAGCTCATTGCATATTATGTATACATGCGGTCTCACCTTTGCAAGCATTGTCAATCCAATAAAGTCCTTCTTCACAGACGCATTTGTAAGAACCTTGAGTATTTTTGCAACGCTGTGACGAATCCTGACATTTAAAGATCCACTCCAAGCACTCGTCTATATCTAAAATGACAAACTAAAGTCAGTAAATTAAACCAATTTGCCTTAATATATAGAGAAAGATATTTTTCGTCTTGTCACGAGCGCGGGACAAAGAAAAAATTCTGAGTCCCACGAGGATAAAGTGAGTAACACATAAGTGATATTTGAGAATGTGTGAACCCAGAAAATTTTTCACATTGCAAGAAAATTTCATGATTTTAGAGCAAGTTGACTTACTTCAAATAATCTTCGTGCATGAAATGATCGAATGAAAAATTAGACTTGCAGATAAATTGCTTAAAACATTTTATCCTGAAACAACGTTTCAATTGAGAGAGAGAGAGAGAGTTACATTTTTTTTCTCCGTGGTAATGCCTTAATTCTGCCTTTACACTACCTATGCAAGTGACATTATCAGCGTCCAGTCTAAAGCCGTCCACACAGGAACATGTGTAGCTTCCTTCCGTGTTGTTGCATTTATGGCTGCATCTATTCTCATTTGGTGCACATTCATCAATATCTAATGGAAAAATGGCGAAATTGTAAGTAGCAGAATTACTTGAAATCCTCCAGTCTAACACTGCATTAATAACATACAGACTGTCTGACAGTCTGTCACTGTTAGTGACTGACTGTTAGAACGTTTTTCAGAACACAGATAAGGCGCTGGGAATCACTACTTTAGTTCTTTCGCCGCTGTCTCTACTGATTAAAGTTTTCAAATCATTTCATGTAGATCATTTATGTCAGATATACTTCTAATTCCCCTCGCAACATCAAACACAGCCTTTGGTCTTCTTTAGGCACATAAAAAATAAAAATTAAAAACCTAAATCCTCCCTTAGGGTTGCATGTTCGCTGTCTATATTAAGCTAGCCATAAATTTAATTTAGAGCCGTTTGATCCTTCGTTATGGCATTAGCCTTGAAGAAAACAAGTTGTATTATTTGAAAGTGCCCTACGCCTTAAACTGAGTGCCAACCCTGATATCTATTTGGTTGATTTATTCTTCGTTTACCAGGTTCTGGCCATTTATTTAAAAGAAACATAGCTTAAAACATGATTGTAAATCTCAATGTAGAGGGTAACGTTTTTAAATGAGAAATACTATCTGGTGCCATCTTGAACACGGCGAACAGTATACATGATATGCACGAATCCCTTCTCTTTTACCTCAAACCAAGTGAAGTGAGATCCAATTGAATTTGTTCACTCTCTAAATGTATACTAACTGGCCCTAGTTTCTTAGGTTAATAAAATTATACCCACCTTTGCAACTATCCCCATCGTCTCCAAGAAGATAGCCTCGTCTACAAGCACATTGTTGAATTTTGTTTGAACCAAGGTAACAGATGTGCTGACAATTATGTTTACTTTTCTGACATGGAGAATCGGCTGAAATGAAAAGGTTTATAATTATTGTTATTTTTTTCATACGTTTCATGTTGCTTACCGAAAAAAAGCGTTTACAGAATCAAACGATTTTCGCCTGCCAATACATTAAAAAAAAGAAATACACTCAGTGATTTCTGACATCGCTTAAAATGGCACACAACTTAATAATTATAAAACTATCAGAAAAACTGATCAAAACGTTACCAAAGAGAAACTCAAAGTAAAATACTTACACTTCCTAACAGTAATTATCAGATGCTAGATAAAATGGACTTTACATCTTAAAAGAATCGCTTGTACATCAAGGTAACCTAGGTTACTAGGTAGATTTTTTCAAGGAAATGTAGACTTCCGTTAGTAATTATAATCATAAACTGCCCACCCCATGCAGTAATTTAACTCCAAGTGCGCGTAAAGCAATTTAAAAATCACTTACGAATACAATTTTTGGGATCTGAAGGGTCCACTTTGAAGAAATCATCACAGCTACATCGATATCCACCGTTTGTATTTTCACACTTGTGCATACAGTCGCTGACAGGAACGCATTCATTAATGTCTGATTAAAAAAAAAAAGTGAGTTAAGAATAGAGAAGCCTTGACTGTGCTCTGTTCTGTTGTAAAGCACGCAGGAAGCGGCTAGAGCACGAAAGAAGTGTAGGGACAAACACGAGAAGTAGTCGAGTATTTCTTCTCATTTGTTTTATAAAAAATATGTGAATTTCCCATGCATTTCTTCAAATTTTCAAACAAACTTTATTTCCAAAGCGAACAACAATGTCGACAGCATGCTCTATACACTTTCAAAAAGCACGCCACAATGAGCCAATCAGAATCTTTCTTGGGATGGTTCAAATAATCTGATTGGATGAAAAAGATTTAAGCTGTCTAAAATGTCAAACCATCAGAGTTCACAAACCATCGAAGTTCACAATTCGTAATAGTTTACAAACTGAAATAGTTCGGCAAGTCGAATTTAGCACTTTTGCCGCAAGTCTATTTAGTCTCTAATACGAAATTTGAAAGGGAAATGTTTAGTGAAATCCGGCCGAATTTTGGCTCATAAAAACACACATGAAAATTAGGCAACAAACTGTTGAAGGCGTGTGTTTTATAAAGGAACGACAGCTGAATTCACTGGAACATGAAGATTGCTCGGGATGACAACGCCATCCATTTTCACTCGAAAGGCGGCCGATGTAAATTCTGAGGCTTGCTACACTACGCTGACCGGAGATTGCCACGATGAGCATGCCTCGATGGACCTCAGCATGATCGCAGTAGCTCTGACACCGTCATGATTAGTATGAACTTTGACGCTTACTCCAGTTTAGCTATATTTTTCATCATTTGTTTTGTTTTGTTTTTGAACACAAAACTATATATACTAAACGAGTGTTACCAGTGTTTAATTTTTATTACCGTACGTAACTTGCAATCCAGCTGAGCGTGTGAACCTTCAAAACTCGAACTGTCCATTTCGTTTTCTCTTTCAGGATTTTCGTTTTTACTTTTGTCATAATAAAGAAAATTGTGGCGCTTGGTATGTTTACAAATCTTTGTTTGGTTCTTCTGTTGCGACTTGCCGTCTCGTTTGCTCCGAAGTTTCACTTTCAATTAACGAAAAAAAGCTAGAGAGAAGTCTGGGAAAAGTTGGCACAATTTAGAAGATGGCGTGATAGCTTTAGCTCTATGCTTGTACTATGATAGTGCACGCTTTTTCAGCTAATGATAGCGCGTGTTATATACGAACTTTGTTATAATAAGGAGTTATACTTAAACATATAGGGTTTGTGCGAGTAAATTTTAATTCTATCGCGCAACGGTCCTCTAAAATATTCATTACGCATGGTAGCTTACTCAGAGATGAAATGAGAGAAAACATGGGAATTTGGTGCTTTACCATCACAATTTCGCTGGTCAATCTTGAGCAAGTATCCTTTTCTACAGTCGCATGTGAACGAGCCTGGTGTGTTGATACAGACTTGACTGCATCCACCGTTCGACCCTTGTAAACATTCGTCAAAGTCTGAAAAAGGAATAATTATATGATAGTATGTTATTATTTGTGTGCTGCTAACATCAAAACTTTCTTCTTCTTATAATGGATACTCAGAGGTTTCAGTGGTTACACAATTTGAGCATAACATATTGAATGAGCCTGAGGTGTTTATTTACCAATTGGACTCAGTTTTCTTGAGAAAAAAGTCTTACTGGGATCAGTTCGATGGAGCTGCGATGTAAGTGCAGCCCCATATGACGTTTTAACTCTGAATTGTAGCAATACCATACAAACGCAGAGTCTAGCTAGGTCAGCTAAGTACTCGACAAAATGTGCATTATTTCTTCCGCAAAATTACAGCCCTCTTTTAAGGTAATGTCTAAATAGCTGTATAGACATTGTTTCCCTCGTAAATAACTTGTTCTTGTCGGTTCTTTGACTGACTTAAGGAGCACAGTGAAACTGGATCAGGGATACGTTTGCCTTTACATATGTTTTGAGCTATGTCAGTAATCCAGTTTGATGATGGATACCTCGACATTTGGATCCATCTCCCGTGAATCCATTCGGACAAGGTCCACATTTGTAGCCAGATATATTTGCTGGAGGGGGAAGGTCGATGCACTTTACACCTGGGTAACATGGGTTTAGATTTGCTTCACATGCGTCGAGATCACTCTCGCAGAGCGTTCCTGTATAGCCATTCAAACAACCACACTCAAGTACATTCATCTTGTTGCTATTGTGCGTGGAGTTTTTGTTGCTGGCTGAATGAAGGCAAACGCCATTGTTATGACAAGCACAGAGATTAATAATTGGCCTCAAGAATGCTGTTGCACCCTGATCGTCTGTTACCACGAATTCTAATTCAATCTGCAAACAGGAAAGCTTTGGTGAGTAATGATGTTAATACGGTATGTTAGTGTTGTAACTAATTTTAGTATTCTGAGTATGTTAGTATTTGTAAGTAATGTTGCATTGTAAATAATGTTAGTAGTGAAAAAATTAAATTAAATAAATGAAAACTAACAAACAATAAACAGTGGTAATAGTACTGAGTGGAGGCCGACTCGGCCTGTAATCATGACAGTGATTAATTGCGAGTATGAATAAAATAAAGAATGATACGATTTATCAAGTGCTCAGAAAAACAACTTTGCATCTAAATGCATTTCATAGAATACAATACAGAATTCAATGAAAGAATACGTGTTCGTTAGTTCCGTTCCACGTGACTGTCACAGAGTTGGAATTGTTCCGTAGAATAGCTGCACGAGGTAGAACGCCGAAAACAGAGAATATCAAGGTGTCGTTGTTTGGGTCTTCTGCAACCACAGACACACTAATACTCTGATTCACAGTGACATTCACTTGGGAGAGCTGTGTGACGAACCGGGGTGGATAATTTTCTGTCAAAAATAAAAGGTGGTATTGATACTCTTACATTTTTCAAACTGTCACATTGAAAATTTCATTTCATTTTGTTTAGTTTTAAAAAACTTTGTTACACTCGACGATCGGTCCAAGATCGAAAAATTTCTTGTTTGTTCGTTGAGCGTCGGTGGAAGTCATTGAAGTCTTTTAGCGTGAGAGATAACAAAGGGAGCTATTTTTTAACGTTTATTGGTATAAATGGACTTAGCACAATACGTATGTGTGGCTGATTTCTGAAGTAGACGTGCATTGTTTTTTATCCCTTTAAGATTTAAACTGGTTGTCAAAAATCAGATAAGCAGAATTAAATGAAGGCCATTTTCCAAAAGGCACCAACGAAATGTGTGTTACAGCTTACCCGTCGGTAGACATACCAATCCAAGCACAAGCAACTTAGTTCAATAGTCACGAAATTTTTCGAATGGTCCAGCGTCCGTATCATAAATACTACCATTGTGAGCAGAATACAGATAGAACTTAAAGAAGCTGATGCTTTTAGACGCGTTTCAGTGCGTTTTGACAGCTACCAAATCGTCAAAAAGCCCATTTTTCATCTTCAAACGAGGTACTGCACTAAAAAACCTTGAATTAAGGGAAAAGAAAACTCGACTTCCGACGACCTCTCGTGTATTGTAAACGGGGTAACTTACTAAGAGAAGATGACTCTTTCTCCAGTGTGGACGACATTGCCTTTGTGTTTGCGCCCATTGAAACATCCTCAGTAGAGGCGGAATCAAATAAGCAGTTGAGATCTCCTTGGCAAGCTTCTTCTGCTTGTTTGCGTAAGGTGTCATTTGGGAAAGAAAGATCTTCAAGGAACATAGGGACAAAAGATGTATTTTCGAAAGTTTTCAGGCTTTCTCCTGGTTTGTATGTAAAGAGTGTGGACCTGTTGTCTACCTGCCCTATTAAAGAGAAAAATGGGGAAAAGCTTCAATGTGACCAACTGATTCTTTGTCAATCTGTGGATTGCAAAAAGGATTAGAAACCATAAACTCCTCGACGGCTATCAATTATGGCATAACGAACATTACTAACTCCAGTTCCGTGAGTAATAAAAGACCGCACTTTTTCAAGTTGGGGTGTATCTTTTAGCCGAGGGCGTCCTATAGCTGCACAACTACGGTAGTTTAAATCTGCCATCCTAGGTAGTCGATTGGAAGTACGTTAGCTTCTATGAGAAGCACTAAAAATTGATTTTTCCAAAATATTGAATTTGCCTCTGCTTCACCGACTAAGTGAAAAGGGCACTGATCCTTCGCAGCAAAGCGCACACTTTCAAAAATTTTGAATTACATATATAGGTAAATGAAACTTACTTAAAAAGGTGTGGGCGAGCAATTAAGATATATAGTTTTTTAAACAAAAAACAATGCTAACGTCAAATACAATAGTCAATTTACAGCTAAAACTAATAAAAATGATAGGTGAAGGGAAATTTACCAATGAAAATTCCACTTCTCCACGTTTCCGGGTTGAACTAAGGTTAAAATTTTAGTTTTTGCGGAGGGAGGAAAACTAGAAGACCTGGGGAAAAATGTTTGGAGCAAGGTCGACAACCGAAAGCAAACCCAACCAACATGAGTCAGAAGGCTTAGGAGTCGAACCCAAGCTACTAGGGTGGGAGGTCAGCGCTCTCACTAATGCATCAGCTCTGCCCCCTAGACAAACTTACCACAATAGCATTATGAAATCAATTAGAACTTATAAGAAAGAAAACTTTACTCACAAAGGAGACCAAAATTGTAATGAATGTCCTTGCTGTTCGCGTTTGAAGGCAAGATGGTTCCATTAGGCGTCAAAAAGTCGTCTTCAGGATCATCATTCCATCTTCCTAACAGGCCCTTTGTTTGATTTTTGAAGCTCTTTGGTGCAGCAAGTACAATTGAAAGTGCTCCCGAAACAGCTTTCGCTGTGACTGATATCCCCGACGGAAAAACCATTACAAAGGAGTTGTTGTCTGGTTTGGCAACAGCAACAGAGCCCTTAAGTGTAACAGATTCGTTTGAAAGGCTAGTGTAGTTAAAGGACTCTCCATCAATCAGCACGCTTAAGCTTATTTCTGTGGATAGAAGTAGTCGATAAGATCATTTGACGAAAACACATACCAACAGAACAATGTATATTCACTTGTTTCCAAGAATTTGGTTGTTTAAGTATGTAGAAAAGAACAAGATCGGACAATAAAAAGTTACGATAAAATCGAGAAAACCTTCAGATGGCAGAAGATTAAGTAATCCATTCTAACTATTGCATTTTGCTTAGTTACTGACCTGCATCGTTCAACTCAACCTGGACAACACTAGAATTGCCTTCCTTCGCAGCTGCAGCAGAAAACACTGTCGCTGTTCCGCCCCCTTTGGCCAGTTTCGTCCGAGCTTGTAACTGAAAAAATCCGTCACGAGCATCGGTCATCATGTATTCACCAAGACCATTAAAGGTGTAGTTTTTGCCATCAAGAGTGACAAAATGAGGGTCACCCCAGAGCCAACCTAAAAGTAGAAAAATTATATGAGATATATTCGTGAAATCAATGATATCTTGATGCAAAGAAATGGAAGGCAAGCATAATGCCTTGATTGCAAATATTTTAGATAAAATCCTTACTCCATTCTGGTACCACATAATTTCCGCAATTATCGGAAGGGCGTTTCTTGTAATACAAGTCACACAAGTCTGAGTTGACGCAGCACTTTTGATAGCCTTGTACGTCGCTTGAGTCGTGTTTAGCTCTTAATTCCTCGGTCAACTTGTGGTATCTATGTGCCGAACCTCCACCAGTATTTCCCACAAGCAGTGCACCCCAACTTTGCCAGTTAGTGGAGTAACAACATTCCTGGCCCCACCCATGTGGTGAGGGGAACTGAGCGTAGCCACACATTCTTGGCCAGTCTCTCCAGTTCACTGTGAACCTTTCGTCCCACCATGCTTGTCGCAGGACACAAGGACAAGGTTCGATGTATTCAGTGTAGAATCGAGGATCTGGTTGTGCTTTGAACCAGTCAATGCACTCCTGTCTTGCGTTAAGTTTCCCGAGGGATTCTTCCAGTCTGAAAAACCACTTCCCAACCATGTCAGCGTTACCTCTTATTCCGTCGATTGTTTCTATGTTGACAGTACCCGATCTAGGAAAGAGACAAACGGGAAAATTCCCCATCGATCAGATTTTCTACCACCCAATTAAAAGATATAGCTCTGTGCTTAACAACACAACCTACCGTGGCATGTTATATTTCCTTTCTCCCTTGTCTCCAGCATTCCAACCAACCACAGGCAACCCATATGAGTTGGAATAATATCGATAGTACATCCTGAAACAGAAATACAATTATTACTTTCATCTGGAGACGAAAACAAAACTGAAAACGACTCTTTCAAAATTGCACAGTTAGGTAAAGGCAGCCGTTGAGCCATTGAACTGCGATAAGGTTGCTAACTGATTGACATATTTTAAAACCCATTGGAATGCGCTTGTATAATTCATACAATAACCCTGTGTTGAGAGATGAACAGAGTTCTAATTTCAGATTGTGAGTCAGTTGCTGCATCAAGCAGTAGTCCATTAAATTCTCCTGACTCACAATAGAATAATTGTCTATGTTTAAGCTTCTTCGAAAACAAATAGTGTCTTGGTCATCGAAAGAACTTCTAATTTCGAGGAGATCCTTTGGTATTAACTTGACGTCTCAAGTTTCGGGGGAACCCTAGTTTTAGTACCATAAATAGGATAATTACATTCCCTAAAAGAGTCCTAAGTATAACTGATTTTGAGCTTTGTCTACTACAAGGAAGCGTATTCTCGTTCCACATATTGGTCGCGAGATCATTTTTCATGCAATTTGCTGATGGAGAATTGTAAAAGTAAATGTATTGTTTTAATGCAATTCAACCAATATGAATGGAATGGATGATGCCAGTTTATTGGACCATTACACTTTAATTAATCATTTGGAAGTGGTTTTTTCACTGACGAATTGTGTCAAAGAGAGTTGGTTTCGAGCTCAGGAGGACTAAGGGCACTAATGTGATGGTGTGCAAATAGCGCAGCTTATAGGCAAATAGAGAAGCTTTTTCTTCCATAGACAGCATTTTTCAAGAAACTCTGAACTAGGAAGACCTCTACACTGAGCAAACCTTTGGGTTGGCGCGGACCACTGTAGACCATTGCTTGGATAATTGTACATCGTGAAGGAGTACACTCCATCTGTAATCAAAACCAACTGAAACGTATTTCCCTATGGATTCAATGTGATAAGTAATAACCAAGAATTGAACTTGATTGATGAATTTTGATTGGTTCTTACTTATGATGTATTAGAGGACAAACGCCCAGATGACTTCATAATTAACACCATTTTGCTGTTTATTATATAAAATGAGTAAAGTTCATGGTGCCGTGTTAAATATAATATCTTCAGGGTTTTAAAGTATTAGAAAATGCATTTCTTAAATAAACTTATTAGCAAGTGTGTAGTTTCTTCCTCCATCCAGCATAAGATTAATAACCCCGAACATAGTGACAAGGCTTCTAAGCAAAGATCTAGATCTTTTCTGAGAGATCTCTTCATATCGGGAGATCACACTAATTTGCATTTCTGTGAAACTTATTTGTTTCCGATTCTCGTTAAAACTGTTAGGCACAATTTCCAGACTTGATTTCGCAACACGTATTCTTCTTTTAAAAGAGAAGGTACCGCTCTTGCCTCAGTACAATCTTAGCGTAGCTGTGTTAAGACCCGTGGAACATCTTGTGCATTCGTAAAATTAGCTATTACTTTTACCTGGTTTGCCATATTAGCAGGGTACTGATACGGACGTAAATTTTTCCACGTTACCACCAGCACCCATGATGCCTTGAAGGCGGTTGGCAAAGGAGTCGACAACAGTCTCTTTGTGTCTGAAGAGGCCCTCTTCAACAAAGGAGTAGAACTTGGGTCGGAATCTGAATACACGTGGTAGTAAACTTTAGAAAAGCCCTGAATCACAAAAGAATCGTCCGTATCCGTCAAACCCCAATAAGGCGCCAACATTGCCTTTTTCTTGAGCCACCAACGTTCCCCGAAATTGTAAGGCCACCAGGGAAGCCATTGTGAATCAAACAGCAGCAATCCGTTGCGACAGATCTTAAACAGAGAATAGGGTTGGGTTAGTTTTGAATTAATTGGCAGAACCCGGCTTTTTTCTTATGGGCATTGATTCCGATAAGAATTACTTTGGGAGAGAATTTACAAGTTAATTGCGTTATGTTACTACAACACACCCTATTAAGCTTAGAAAAGAATGACTGTCCAAGAAAGCGTGGGAAAGACCTGATAGATTAGGTATACTATTATTAGTTTTCATCGGCAAATACGCCTTGAACGCTTTGAATTGGTTACAAAGTAATCGATTAATCGATTCGAGAAAAAAATCAACTTGTTTTAACTTCTTAGAAGAGGTTAGCAGGGTACCTTCGCATCTTCAAGAAAAACAGTAACAAGGCAAGCGACATCACAATCCACAGTCATGTTACGATTGTCAGGCGATTGTCAGACTATTTAATTGAAATCGAATGCAAGAAGATATATACGTACGTGGACTTTGTAATGACGCTTGCCGAAGAATTGCATTCCATCGTCCGGGATGTCGATCTTGAAACATTGCCACGAGTACTCATACGTGTTTGGAATTTCCGAATCACCAGCGGAAGAACCGTAGGGATACATGAGCTGCATCGGTCCTAATATGAGTAAAGTAATGAGGCAATTCAAATACAACGTTCTGAAAAGCACCATTTTTAGATCAAAATTGTCGAAAACTATTGATTGTTTAGAGATTCAACAGTGTTCTTTCACAAGATGTACTCTAAAATGTGACGGCTACATTACTTTCTATCCACTAGACAATTAGATTATGATCTCAAGAATGCTATCGCGAGGTAGTTGCGAAAGCAAATAATCTAATTGTTTGAATGAAGATCACCCTATCAGCCTAAAAGTTAATGTCGTCAGGTAGCTTAGCCTATTGTTATAGTTTTACTTCAAAGGAAAAAGAAACATTAATCAACCTTATTGTAATGAATAATAATTTCTTGGCTGTGAAAGGAACCAATTTTAATAGCATTTTACCTTCCGTTGTCGGACTCGGTGTATTTGCCGGCTCCCCCGTCGTCTTCACTGAATCAAGAAGTAGAAATGAGGTATACGAGTATGAATGCAATTTTAAACAGTATTACCTTGTGCGTCGTTTTTCCTGGTAGCGTAAGATAATGCAACTGAGTTTATCCATAAATATCTCACATTTTTATCGCAGTTTTACCTATATACATAATTATTATATCGCTGGCAGCGCCCGTGGACGATATGAGGCAGATCATGTGTTCTGGTTGGCTACCCGAGCGAGCGAGATGGGCATATCTCGTTTTTTATGAACCTCAACTTCGTCTCGGTTCATGAAAACGCAAAATAAAGGAACTCGGCCAATATCTAACCATCTTGACTTCAGGCCTGGTCAATAACACATACATTATGAGACTATCCGGGATGAAGATCAAACTCTTAATAAAACGTGGACGAAATAAAATTCTCGAGCCTCTTATGGGTGAATCAAGGGCCTCAATAAATCTTCACTAATTTACTTTGAATCGAGTCATAACCTCGCTAACCTTGTTTTCTTCGTTTTTCTACTTTTCTTTACCAGTGAGTATTTTCTCTTTTCAGTAATCTTGTTGCAACAGAAAGAAATGAAGGCTTTTAAAATTTTTCTGTGTTACAACAATCACGATCATGAATTTTTTATTTGAGTTTGCGAATAGTATCGAGTCCGCGCAATCCGCGAACAAGTCGTTGAATTTTTATCTCTAACATCGCAATATGTCAACTAATGTTTTCGCGGATAGCAGTCGGGCAGATTAAAGTCAGATCTTTATTAAGATTTCCTGAACTGTTCACATTTAGTGGAAACTTACCTACGCCAGTTTCTAGGGTAAACGTTTGACTCATATAGGTGACTTTTGACAAGAGTAGCACTCTGACAGTATATTCTGTTCTTGGCTGAATGTTTTTGAGCGATACTTGAGTATCATTCGTCTGTATGACATTCCAATACGTCGATGACTGAGACGACTTGTACAATACAATGTAACCCTTCAATTCACCCACATTTTGCGTCTTTTTCCACTCTAATACAGCTGATGCTGAAATTGTGTTCTCGTCTTTCGTCGCTATATCTGAAGCGTGAATGAATAATCATCAACTCATGCCCAGCCCACTGACCTATGTAACTCAAGGCTATGGTTGCCATCAAGAAAACTGAGAAATGCAGTTAGGTATCATGCAGTTGGATACCGTTTGGCAAAGGGAACAAGAGAGAGTTTTATAATACATACAGCATGATTTCAAACTAAGGTGGGGGTGACGAATTATCTGTCACCTTCAATCACCTTGCCATGTGACAGCGCTGAACTCCCTATGCTGCTGAAGACTTTGAGATATTTTCAAAATATACGTTTTGTTTCGGTGTTTCAGGACGCATGCCAATAATTATTGTCATCCATAATGTGTGTGAACTTTAGGTATGGAAAAATAATGCCAAGTGAACTCTTAAAATTTTGTTTGTGTCATAAGCATTTCTTAGTCTGCAAAGTGATATGTTTATCTATGTGGGATTTGGAAGCGATTGCACCTCTTATCCTTACCAAGATCTATTTCCTGTTTCACCAAAAGATATCGAGCGTAGAAACCCTTTTCCTCTATTCCATTATCTGAATACAGACGCACTGTAAAAGAACTTTCAGTGAAGGTGACAGCAAAAGGAGGATGCTTTCCACAAAATTTCCAATCTATACTCTGAGATTTGTCCCTCACTTGAACATAATCCGAGCTGCAAATATTTCCAACAAGAATAGAGAACATTACAACCAAACAGGGCAATTAAAGTAGATAAGATAGCCGAGTACTCGCGATTGTTCTTTAGAACTTGAAATTTCAAACCCTGGGCGTCGTAAGCAAAAGATGTCGTAAGTCACGATGGGGACCTAAATCGTAAAATCTAACCTTACATAGTCTCGAAGTCGAGAACACGACTTCGTAGGGTTTCAGGAGGAGATGGGAACGCAATTACGTAGTCTTTTGTGTCCAGATCCTGGACTTAAGTCCGCAAGAAAGGTCAACACTCCGCTTGAGACTTCCGGAATATTACACCATTCATTATTCAGTATTAGCTACCTATAACACTCTTTCGGCCATATATCACTTTCTTTTTAAAATTTTTTGGTTTTCTTTGACAAATTAAACTTAGATGATTTCTCTGATTAACAACCTAAACATAGCGTAGAATGGCTATTGTTCTTGTGACATTTACTTACAGTTCAAGAAGACGCATAGGTCTGTCATAACGCTTATTACTATTCATGGAAGCCCAGAAAGAAGCTTTTTTATTGGTTGCTATGAACGCGCGGCAATACTCATTAACTTGAATGTGGCGGCAAACTGAACAATGGCTTTAGTGCGCTATTGTTACTCCCTTTGTTTGAATGACCACAACCCGCTTTTGTTTCTTCCTTCGTTTGTATAAACTCGGCGTTGTTTGTTTCGCAAAAGTTTGACTCCGACGCATAATTATAAGTTTCGCTAAGGTTTTGTTTCGTCAAAAGGAGGTTTTGTTTCGCAAAAAGTGAACTTGAAACGCAACGCCGGAAACAAAGCGAATTTTATAGTTGCCGCGCGAGGAAGACGATCATGTGCCGTAAAAAAAAACTAATCATTCATAATCGAGCTCACAATAAAGTTTTGCCAATGTAACGGATTGATCGGGTTGTCAACGAGCTCTGAAAAGGGCTCCCGATCGCTGACGTTTTCCATGACTTTATCAAATGCGCGATTTGATCGGCTGTTTGAATAAACCAGCTGCTTTACTTTACTTACTTTTAAAATTCGCGGTAATAGTGAATAATTTTACAACTGAATGGTTTTTATGAATGGTCTATTATTTAGTCTTGGTAACCATTGTTATTCAATCGAAGGCTTAAAACAATAGCTCGCACGCTCAAGACGCGCCATTTTCAAACGCGAATTCAACCAGCAGTTTTCAAACTGAAAAGGATAGTGGTTCCCGTTGACCAATTTGTAAACTTTTTGCAGATTCTTGATGAGAAAAGATGAATTTTCCATAAACCGTGCGTGGGTTGTCGAAATTCAATAAAAGTTTTCAGAAATTTGCTTTGGAAAACGGACTCCATACAAAAAAAGGTCAATTTTTCCTTATTTTCAAGTGCAAAAGGATACTCCTTCCACTTGTTCAATCTTCTTTTTTTAGTCTTAAATTGTTGATACAACAGTCCTCTTCAAAATTCCGTGCGTGGGTTTTAAGATTTTTAATTCTTGAAATCAGGAAAGCAAGTTTTATCAACGCTACTTGGCCAATTATGGCCCTTTCTTCTCTAATTTTGGGCTTTTCAGAGCGCGTATTTGCGCTTCGGTGATCATGAATATTTAATGAATGTCACAGCATTCTGCCCTATGACACGAAATTTTGAACATTTTTCACCGAATTTTGTTGACAGCGACCTAAATCAAAGCAACTGGCAATGACTCTGTATTTTAATTCGTAGATATATGTGACTGATCGAATGCGGCTAAACGCTGGAATTTGTTTTCCAAAAAATATATCCTTAACATGAAAATGTGTATGTGTTCTATACAGGGCCGTTGTCTTTAAAAAGTGCGTTCCATGACTTTTACATCGCTTTTTTTTACAGCAAGAATTCTTCTTAATTTCCATAGGAAATGTGACAACTTTGTGGCAGATAAACCACGACTAACGTACTTTTTCCTTAAGCTTAACACAACCTTGTCGAATGCCTCACAATGCAAAGGAGCGCAAAGCTTTATTATTGATTTTGAAAATTGATTACCAGCAGCGTCCCATTTTCACGCGATTTGCCAAAAAAATGGTAACTCGTTGTCGCGACCGCAAATCAGAGTCATTCTATCCCCAGACTCTATTTGCTCTTTACTCGCAGCCGTAGTAAGTTGTCATCATTATGCAACCTTTCAAATTAATAAATACCTGCAGGGAGTACCAAAACCTTCTGTGTGCAAATAGTCGAACAAAAGTATGATCTTCGTTTCTCTTAATTCCATTCCTTGCCCTATTACCCAAGTACAATTGGCATTACTTGGATAATTACTGGGATAGTTAGGACTGGCAAATTCTGTGACATCACCGGGTACAAAAGACAGACAACCTGGAAAATATCGAAAAATAAAGTTAAAAAGTGATGAATGACATTTTGCCAATGATTAACTCAATGGAATGGGTAAGAGGGTTGAAAAAAGAGAGACTAAATGACGTGAACGATTTACTGGGGGAAAGGCTTTTTCAGACGATTTGATATACATGCAACTAGCAAACAGTGTGCTCAAGCGAATCAAAGTATTTTTATATCCAAAATCTTTCTTCACGTACCAGTTTTGGCAAAAAGTGGCCGACTTTGAACTCCAACACCAGCTCTCGTAAACCCGGCAAGGTAGATTCTGTATAGTGTCAAAACTTTCAGGCCTTTTAAGAGTACAGACGAAACTAGAGGCCCAACTGACATATTGTAATAGCTCTCTTGTGTCCAAGCCTCTTTATACCGAACCAGGTAACCTTGAAGCTCTCCTCGGATATCATCTTTATTTATGAGAGACCACGTAACTCGAATAGTTGTAGAATTTGTGCCGTGTCCCGAGACATTACTTGGCGGCTTTGAAGGAACTGCGAATATAACAAAAAAAACATTATAAGAAAATCAATTAAACTATTAAGGTAAAATAAAAGAGAATCCTTTTTAACGAAAAGAATTACAAATTTGGAGATCGCTATTTTGAATCAAAACTTGAAGCACAACATGATTCAAGGTTAAAATTTAAAAGAGAAATCCTTCTGAACAACTCACAGCATGGCTGAATTCGAATTGTATCAATTGTATTAAAACTGAACGGAAGCTTAATGCAAACAGCAAGGTTAATAACTGAGGACGGTCTGCTGAGTTGTTTTCAAAGTGCGTTCTAGATAGTTTTCGAAAGGACAAGTAACACTTATGAAACTCAAAACTCGGTGATAAGTATATTTCCTCATGTACCTCTCAATGGCAAGACCGTAGGATCATAGGATCAAATGACTCAAAGAGCAAATTTTCTCCTTTACTAAGAAATACGACATAGATATCCTAGACTTTTACCAACTGTCGGCTCGTGTTGCCGAAGCGTAGTTTTTTTGGAAAATGGCGGACTTTAAGCGCGAGTGTCTGCTGCTCCGTGCTCACCCACGTTCTTTCATTGTTAAAAATTAATCATTCCTCACCATCTTCATTTGTCCTGAGTACCACAACACTGCTGCTTCTCATTGAAATCGATCCATTTCTTTTACCTTTGGACAAAGCAATCATTTGAACCCTGTATTCTGTGTACGGCACAAGCCTTTGAACCAAAGTACTAATGGACGAAGAATTTGCTGCAGCTAAACGTAAGGTATCTTTGATTTCAGTAGCTCTGCAAGCGGCGACGAAGCCGTAAAAATCATTCATCGAAAGAGAAAAGGTGTCATTTGGCCATGTTACCAACACTGTTGTCGAGGAGACGCTCTCAGCAGTTATATTCCAACCTTGTATGCGAGGGGCTATATACGGGTCATAACAAAAAAATTCGAGTGAAATCAGGCTGACTCTTTACTCAAGATAGAATTAAACAAAAGGTATCGTCGGATGTTTCTCTAACAATCTTATGTTACTCAAAGGTCTCCCTTAAACTTTTAGTTATAAAGTTAAACTGACCTTCGGTGAATGACTTGTTGAGTATGTGATATTGGACCTTAAATCCTGTTGCTGAAGACGTCCGGCGACTCGAATAGTAACGCAGGTGTAAGGAAGGACCTTCCCAAACAACTGTTAATCCTGTCCTTCTGCCACATACTCTTTCGACTTCCTGACCTTTATTGATCTCCAGGTAAAAACGCCTATTGAAAAAGATTCCTTAATGCTTTCAACTCATATAGAGCTGTTTTGAGAGAGGTTGTCGGAAAAAAGGAGTACGAGAGTGCATACTAAAACTCTGAAAGGTATTGTGGGTAGTTCTCAGGTCACGGTTCCATGACCTCAGGATTTGAGGGAAACCTGAGAAAGTGTCACTGTAAGGGAGAGGCATCGCGTGTTTGATGAATTTATTTATTTCACTTATTAAAATACATTGATTATCGGATACCTAGATTTCCTCTGAAGATTGGAGCTGGCTCTTCTGTCCTTTTTTTCCGACAACCTTATTTGAAACAGCTGGATACATGTAAACACACAAGATCTAGAAGCTCTGAAGTTGTCATATTTCTATGTCAACTTCAGAGCTACCTCGTTTAAGAACATATTTAGTTTATCTGAAGAATTGTCTTTAATTATTAAAGTGTGTTGCACGTTGCACAAAAAACATAGGTTGACCTTGATTTTTTTAAAATTCCATAACGAGATGAAAGATGGCTTTTCAGCTTTTTCACTTTGATGTTCCATGGAATCAACAAACGCCTCACATTTAGCTATTCAAATCTACCGATGCAATACCTTCACCAGGTTTTTTCTAGTGGTACAACGCCAACATTTGCGATCTATCTGACCCCAGTAACTTTAGAGAAAGTGACCTAACATGGACTAAATCAACGCAAACAACAATAAAAGTTATCAAGAGGAAAAAACTTCGCCGCTCTGGCCTATGTAACTGTTTACCTGCAGTTCCATGTTAACGGTAGATTGAAATGTACAAATGTCAGCAGGACTACTGAATTGTTGTCAGGAGCAGTAAAGTTCCAAGTGCAATCACTCCAATCGACATAATAAGGAAACCCAGGACTAGTAATCTCGCCAATGTGACCAGAAATGAGTGCTCCACATTCTTTGATACATTAAATGAAACAAAAAATTATTCAAAGTAATAATGAAATCCTAGTAAACTTTATCTTATCATTCGGATTTGATTTGTTTGTCGTATTACTCAGTTGAGTGAATGAAAAACAACTGATTCACTTTAACGAAGTGAAGGTGAGAGAAACAGCCAAAAGATTATTCTAAAAAGTATTTAATTCATTCGACTACCGTGTCAGAAAACTTTGCAAATAATACGAATTCAAATAATTATACTAAATGAATGTGTGACTAATAGCGTGTCGACGAGATTCCTATCTGGTTTGATTATTTGAAAACTAATGCTAGAAACAAGAAACCATTTTTTTCTAATTACAGATTAAGTTTATATTTAAAAATAATCAATAAGAAATAATGACACTAAAAAGCATACGTGTTTTGATCCAATTCCAATTCTTTGGACCTTCTCCGACAGATGTAAACGCTCTGACATAAATTTCATACTCTGTGCCGGGCTTTAAATCAGTTAGCAAAACATGCAGCTGTTCTGGTCCCACAGTAACATTTTTATAAAGGTAGGTCCTGTACTCAGAGTAATGCACTCTGTATCCTCGTAGAATGCCACCAGTATCTTCTTGTGACAGGGCATACCAACTCACAAAAATACTCTGATGATCCAAAGCGAAGACGTTCTTGTACGAAGGTGCACGCAGGGGTACTGAAAAAATATAAGTGGTTTCTTAGACAGGCGGTAACACAAAAATTCATAGAAATTGTAGAAATTAATGAGGAGCAAAAAGATATTGCTAATTCTAAAGTTGTAAAATTATCTTTCAAGTGGTCAATAAATTTAGACTTTCAATGTAGTCAACAAACGCCTTACGTTCAGCTCGTTAAGCTATCAAGACGTTACTTTCATCATATTTTCTCCAATGGTGTAACACTATTCTCGAAACACACGCACACATGTGAATGCAACCCCAACAATGCTGTGACAACGGGCTACTCTTCGAAACGTCAGCTCCTCATGGCAGTTTCAATACCAGTATCCTTTTATATTTCATAACAGGCCCACTGTTTTTTCCTTTAAGTACGTAGTCATCAATAATAATAATAATAATAATAATAATAATAATAATAATGATAATAATAATAATTACTATTTAAATACACTTACAAATGTCAAACCATGTACCCGGGAAAATACTCTTTAAGTATCTTTAACAAGGGGACATAGCAGAAATTCTTGACAACCTAAAGAACTGACATTTACGGAATAGAACTCGGAATAATAATTATTGATGGAGTTAAAGTCACTCACCCCCCTCTGCAGTTTGGATGTCAGTGCTTTCACTTGTTTTTAAAGATATCTTGCCACTATCACGATCCCTGAGGAGAGCAACAGCTCTCACTTAGTACTTCGTGTAGGGTTTTAGTCCACTCACCATCGTAGACGCATCATGTGCCACATCCAGTTGATGTATGTCGCCAGTACCACTTGGCAACTTGTGCAAAACAACTAAATACCCATATATGTGGCTAGAATTTGAGTTGTTGGCACTTAACGGAAGCCAACTTGCATTAATCGCTTTAGAGATGACTTGAGTGACCGAGAAATTCCAACCAGGTTCAACGAAAGCTTGAACATTGAAATATAAAAGAAACATATTTTCAAAGATAGTGGCAGCTGTTAATGATAATAACTAAGGCCTAGTTCAAACGTCGATCTTTACATGTACCGAATCTAATTGCAATTTGGGTCGACTCGAATAATTAAGAGCGGCAGTTGATTCAAACGTCTATACAAATCTGCCGATCCTAATTGATTCAAACGTCGATCTTTACATGTACTTAATAGAAACGTTAGGTTCGGTACATGTAAAGATCGACGTTTGAACTAGGCCTAACTCACAGTAAAACGTCAAAGACAGTAAGAGGCCTAGGTTGCAGGAAAATAGTCATAAGTTATATGTCCGGGTCTTAATCATCCTCACGAAATCCCTTTGGCAAGCTTCTCTTTTGAAGTGTTTTTTACCTTACAAAAGCCGTGAACACGTAATTTTTTCATGATTACTTTGTGAAATGATTAATGTGAAAAATGTGATATTTTCAATTCTTCTCAGGATGTGCAAGTTCGTGTAAATTCTTTGTTCCCTTTTTTAATTGCCAACTCCTTCAGCTCTTAAAAATCCATATAGAAACATTTTACTCTGAGAAAGACATCACATTAAACACAACTTCGTAAAAATTTTAAAATTTTCCCTTGTGACAAATAAATGTACGTACCCACTCCGGCAAATTTCTTGATAGACATCACTTTCCTATATATCTGATTTTTTAAAATTTCGCACAGCACTTTGAACTTTACTGGTTCAAGGCTGAGTTTTGTTTAACGTGATTGAAAAATTTGGGAAAAGGCAACTTTTACATGTACCACCAAACAAAGAATCATGAACAAAAATAAAACACAGGTCAAATTGATAAATTAATTTTTATTGCCAAATTTTCCTTAAGTTGCCAGAAGTTGCCTGATTTTTATTGGGCAAATTTTGTTTAAATCACCTTAGGTTGCTTTAAATCGCTTCCAGAATATGACTTCGTAAGAATTATCTCTTTGGGAGATCCGTTTGACGAAGTAAAATTCATAGCTTGAATGAATCAGTTTAGTTCCGTCAGGCCGACGATAGAACCAGTTTTTCTATGAAATATCAGCACTCTTGTTAAAACACTTAAACTAATTTCGTGTGTGTTGATAATCGTTTCGCAGATTGAAAATTGATGAACCGAGGCGGAGGCCAACGGGAATGAGTCCTAAAAATAGATTAGTTGTCAAACTTACCATCCGAGCGTGAGTTGTTAATGACGAAATAATGAACTTTCAGTCGAGAGCCATAATCGTAGAGGTAAGACGAGATATCCACAGAGCTGTTCGACACCAAAACGGCAAAAGGCGTTCTTTTATAGCAGTCCAGCCGCTTGTACTCTCGCACGCTTCTTACGTCTGTAACACACCTTAAAACCAGTGAAAAATAAATCATGATTATGAGATGTGCGCTGAACCACAAATCCGGCTCATTAGCTTGCCAACAAGTTCTTTTAGGGGTGCTCTTCTGGTTGACTATCAGCAGATAGGAATTCTTAGAACTCAGAATACTGCAACCTGCATGTCGTTACATCTGAGTCTTTTAACCGGAGACGATTTTCTTTTTCTCCTAATGGTTAAATGAATAGTTTACGCCCGTTGGAACATGGCAGTTCTGAATAGTTAACCGCGAGTTACCACTAACGCCCTCCGTAGGGGGGGAGGGGCCTCAGCAATATCTCTGTCGTACTCAGGCGCGTGATAGGTGAGAAGTTTAGGAGTACTATAATTTGACGACCCCAATGGGTGGGTCAAATTCCAAACAACAAGCAAACAACAAGCCGTAAGGTAAATTACCATGCTTTATAGAGAATTCTTCCATTTTTATCAGAATTTACGAAAAGAAAATCGCTTAGCTTTGTGTAGAAAATTCTGAAAATTTTTACGATTTTAAAACAAAATTTTGTATTGAACAGTACTTTGGGACACATCAATGCTGCAAGTTAATATTTGCCGTTCTAATTAGAGTCACCAACGTCGCAAAGCCTCAACTGAAGTGCAATGGCTCAATTCTGCTTTCAGCCATAATTCATATCACGTTTGGGAATGAAGTATCGTTAACTCCAAAACTAAGTTCGTGGCTTAAAAAGCGACACGCTTACTGTTTTTCGAAACGAGTATTATTTAGCATATTTCCTTTTAGCTTTGAACTCCAAAAGGTCTACCTCAATCGGAATAAATAGGAAAAATACTCTTGAAAGTTTTAAAGCCTCTCAGCTAAACTTAACGGGACTTTCAGCCGAAGTGAAACTGCACACGTCATGCCATAGATGCACAGCCGTGCGTTTATACAGGTTTTTTTTACTATGGTAGCTCTTTAGGAAATAGGTAGAACTTGCGCACGCGCTATGTTATGATACGAAATAACCTACTTTCCAAATAACCGTACACCATCTCAGGATATTTGAAACCTGTTCACACGTTATTTACATTCTTAGTGTAGTAGGATAATAAATGTGTCTTTTCAAACGTTTTGGTGAGTAGTATCGTTGATTATTTTTACGGGTTGGGCCGCATTTTGACCAGCCCGCAGGGCGAGTAAAAATAAAAACAACGAGTATTCTTCCATCCGACCCGCTCACAATTACATTAATCGATGAAACCTTCGTTCATTTGATATCTGACTTCTCTAAAACAATTTGTTCGTTGTAAGATGTTGAGCGAAGTTTTGAGTTCTACTAGAAATAAACTTTCCCTTATTCTTTGCAAGTCCCATTTATTTGGACGCTTCTACCGTACATTTTCACAACAGAAGCTGAAGTAATTCGTTAAATAAAATTCGCGTTTAATCCTATTGTGCTTAGCTAGAAAAAAAACGTCTTACTTGACGTCAGTTTTTTGGTGGGAGGAAAGACAAGGCTTACATACGCTATTGCAACAAACAAACAAGCAAATTCTTATTGCTTCAAAACATACACTTGAATTCACTTACTATTTGACATTCCTTGACATTAAAAACTGAACAGAGGTAGTCGTGGATTGATCGCCGTTGGAAGAGAGTGATACTTTCCATAATATAAGTTTAGAAGAAAAAGGCGCTATAGTCGTTTGATTCTAGTTTGCTTGCCAAATCAGTATACGAGAGTTTCTTTCCTGACAGAAGTCAGACCGCAACAGATCAACGTTTCAAGTTTGTTTGAAGGCCTTTTATATAACCCTTATCATTACTCAAATAACATAGTTTCTTTTAGAATTATATTACGTTTCTTCAATCTGTCATCTACTCGCCCAAAAATTGTTCGGTTTATGGAGGTCTTTCTATAGTTACAGCCCTAAATCATAACGGTTCTTTTGGAAAGCATTTCGTTAAATTTTGGAAAAAAAATGAAAATGCTATTCAATAGCCTAGGTCGGTCAGTCCGTATTGGGAAAGACTATCCCCCTGTCTTAAGTATCGTTGGTGAATAGCATATATATATATATGTCGCATATTTTGTCTTAGAATTTGATACAAAGCGGGTAAAGTAACAGTCTAAAAGCCCTCTACAGAAAGCCATCGCATGATACAAAATAAGGGTCTCCCCGGCGATTACAACCTGGCCTTTGAAAGCAAGAGAGCTTTAAATACTTCTGGCTGTGACTGTTCCTGTGCAAAATTTGCTTTCTAGCAAGGTGTTTTTCGTGCCATGTGATCGCTTGCGGTTTGCTTTTATTCCGATTAACTAAACTATCATTATTTAAGCAAACTCTAAGTACAAGTCAGTCGATTGAGAATTCATATTAACTATCGAAGACGGTTGCCATAATACCAAAAGAAAAAGTCGGTCTTAACAGGAAATTAAGTTTGCTTCGAAATATAAAACTTTGACCTGTACATCGAGCCCATAAGAGCCTTTTACTGATGACCTATCAACAAAAATTAGAGAACATGATAATTCACAAATTCGATCATAAACACGCACCCCACTGTAGAATGCCTTTGCAAATCCACACCAAGTGACCTTCATTTCGTTTTGTTTCATATTATCATTAAATAAATTAGAGTGGAAACGTAAAATCAAAAACTTCCATAAATTAAGAATTTAAGTTTTACCAACACTTATGTCGTTGTTCTTCAAAAACCAGAAGTATGCTGGAATTCGCAAATGGAGATTGTATCATCCAGTGGCAATATATTAAATGGCGCCCTTGCAGGTTGCTTCCGCTGAATTCACCCGACGGCATATCAAAGTTCTGTCCACACACTGAAAGAAAGATTGATCAAGTCAGGCAATTATATTGTTAAAAAGCAATTTTAAAAGGGGAAAATGGGGCCGTTTTTACCTTCCTTCGGTCTGGTTGCCACAGTCATAGGTTTTTTAAAATTATCTGAAATTCCCTAACGAACATAAATTTTTCTGACCTAATGAATTAAAAATTTAACGAGCGAATCCTGATAATGACCTCAAACTGTCGTATACCCCCTTCGCACCGCGTAACCAGCCTATGACATATGATGCTAAAATGGTCTATTTCGGAATGTACTTCGAAGATTCGCGCTTAAGAGAAAAATGTTTTTTTCTAACGTACATAGTTAGGGACCCTACCCTACATTCGTAACTTGTGAAAATGATTCGAAAATATTAATTTTCGAATGCGTAAATGAAAGAGCTAGACCTAATTAGGCCAAACTGCCTCACATACTCACTTTTTGTTGGGTTATTGTAACGTGATTAGGAATACAATCGCAAAGAAACGTGACATTATTGTAAAGCAGCGTATTTGAATAAGGCTATTTCTCCAGGAACTGTAGCCAGCTCTTTATGGCAACTCAAGTTGTGAGGAGCTGATGCTTTAGGAATAAGTTGCACTTTTAATAGATTTACAAACAAGTCTTCAAGTCTATGACTAGTTGTCGAAGGGTCACTTTACGTCACGTTCAGAAATAATCCCTCCCCTTATCATTTATGCCACAGAAGTGTGTGTTTTATTCTAAACCAAAATAAAGTGTATCTGTAAAATTAATATTTGAAGGGTAAGAACAGCTTTTCGTTTACAATCTCCAACATTTTGCTAATCTCGGTTCAGTTTTCACTGACTTATTTTCAAAATAATGTAATTGCCTGGAACTTTAGTTGAGAAACAATTTACAATTAATGACTTGAAGGCTATTAATTACATTTTATTGCGTTAATATCGAGAGGAGAACTTCCTCTTTGTTTATGCTATTCGACAAGTCTAGAAACTGATTGCTTCGCTTTTTGTGTGCCATAGTGTTAGTAATTGACCAGAAGCTATTTATTATTCGTTAATTCAATACAGCGTATACACCAATGGTAGTAGAAGCGACCTTCATGTAGGTCACGTTTTTGTCTGAACTAAGGGGGATCACAAAATATGATCGGTGTCTTAGATGAAATACCAGGCCATAATCGTTAATAATAAATTTTTTGTATTTAACCGAAGAGTTTCATTCCATAGTAAAACATTGTCTCTTTTCACATATGCTTCTTCACTTCTCTTTTAATGTGTTGCACGTTATTATGCAGCATTACATTTAGGAATGAGATTTGTTCACTACATACCTGTGTGAGGATAAATATAATGTTCTGCGCCTTCCCCAACAGACGTACGACCTGTAACTTTGACTTCATATATTGTGACCTTCTTCAGCCCAGTTATAGTAAATACTCGAGTATTTGCGTTCACACTATGATTGGTAAAGCTGTTATTTGAATTGTATATTCTATAGCGCACATTGTATCCAAGAAGAATTCCATGAGCATCTTCGCTAGATATTGGATCCCATACAATCTCCAGTCTGTCGACACCTCGATTGATCGCGCGCAGCCATGGAACACGATCGGGAACTTGGAAAAGAGAAAGAGTATCATTTACTAACCGCTGTTAACATCTTCTATATTGGAAAATGAATTAAGATACTTTCCAACTTTTTAATTTTTTAATCATTGGAATAAGTTTTGTTCTTTCTTGCATTCTTATTGCAGTTTCAAATCATAATTATTTTCAATCACATTATTGTTATAGGATCAAGCAAAATTTACTCACCGCCCTCTGGAGTTTGAACCTCGCTAATTGAGCTGATCTTGAGTGAAATTACACCAGTCATCCGATCTCTGACAAGAGCCACAACTTTCACTCCGTACTTTGTGTAAGGTCTAAGGCCACTCACCACGGTATCCAAAAAGGAGGAGTTTGCATTCGAGGCAGGGGCATTTGTCACATTTAGGACAAGTATGTCACCAGTGCCAATCCGCAGCATGTGCAAGGCAGCAACATAACCATATATGTAGGAGGAATTTGAGTTGTAAGTATTCAGCCGAAACCAACTCACATGGACCTCTGTGGAGCTGACGCTAACGGCTGTAATGTTCCATTCACGCTGGTGGAGAGCTTGAATGTGAAGAAATGCAAAGCAAACTTTAAGTTGTAGGGTTTGCCTACAATTTGTTAAATTGACACTGTTATCTTGAATTACGGTTAGATCGCACCATGGTTAGATCGCTCCCGGTTAGATCGCTCCACTCGAAAGTGAGATCGCTCCATCAAATAAGTGACTTCGCTATCAACATAAGTTACTTCGCTCCATGTAGCAAAACTAAGCTATCTAAATTGATAGTTCATCAAATTACGTGCATATCTTACCTAACAATCGGTTAATATCGCTCGCGCGCGCTTGAAATAAATCCGAACTACGCAGAAAGAACAAATAAAACCTAATGTAAGGGACTCACGAAGTATAATCTACTTTATTAATTAAAGATGGTGGGTATCAGTTTCCTTACATCAAACAGCAAAAAAGGCCACACTGGATAGTATTGGTATTTGAATGATCTTTTTCAATACACTTCAGACTATAAAGTTATAATTTATTCCACGATCATTTATTCCATTATCGCTAAACATCATACATCGGTAGCTCGGTGGCTAATCTGAAGGACAGAGTGAATACTATGTACTCGAATCGTCACAAGAAAAACATCATCACCTATAAACTTTAAAGATCATTGGTAAGTAATACTTCACATTACAATATGGAGCGAAGTAACTTATGTTGGTAGCGAACAAACTTATTTGATGGGGCGATCAAACTTTTGCGTGGAGCGATCTAACTTTTGGTCGGAGGGATCTAACTGGGAGCGATCTAACCATGGTGCGATCTAACCGGATACCTGTTATCTTAATTCTTCTCAAATGTCAGCTGGTAAAAGGTAGATACTACAAATAGATAACCATAAGAAAAAGAACACATTATCAGAAAAAAATCATACTGTGTTGACCATTGATCATTAAATTTGATGGCAGACCCAGGGCTGCAGTTTGTCACCAATTCTCGCTTATCATTTTTCTGTAAATAAAGGCAAGTATTCCCTTTATGGGTATAAACCTGGTTTAATGTGTATAGGATTATTCCAGATAGGTTAATATTCATAGATGTTTGTAAAAATGTGTTGATTTTGTCGTCGCAAGAAACTTTGGCTCAATTTTAACTGAGTAACCTAAACTGCATCAAAGTTTTGAAGTCATGGTCAGTTTATACTACAGGTTTAAGAGAAATCTTCATGCATGTGTGCAGTTTCAATATTAAACCAGGATGATAATGTTTAATACGTGTCATACGGGTACAGACAGGCGTTGTAAAAAAATTTGCTTACCTTTTTTATTACTGGACACTTCCTTTTAAGATTCTTGTTTATCAAGGCCTACGTTACGTTCTAATTTTCGACTAAATTTTATGTTCTTTTCAAAATTCTTAAATATCCTAGTATCATTTATCGATGTGTCTTTTGAAAACTTTAATATAGTTTCATGACGTTTTGCAGATTTATGGCACGTTAATTTTTCCCCTGACCCTCTTAACAGTTCATTATGAGTTGGTGTTAGCCGTAGAAGTATCGCCAAATTAAAGTTTTGTGCACAGTTTATGAATCCAACCTATGGGTTAACAAGGCCGAAAAGTATGGCTTTTCACAATGATAGTTTCCAGGTTTATAAAATGTCACTCTCCTCATTAATATTTCCTTAAATCTGCTGGCCTACTAGAATTCTCAGTCCTCTGTCCTGACAGCCCAACCTTATCACAAAGTCAACAACAGGGGCGACAAGCAAATGAATAACACAAATATTTCCACATACGCCCTCCTTGATCCTGTTAGCTTATTCTAAAGATGGCATTTCAGAAATGGCGCACATTTGCGAGCATAATTATTTAATAATGGTGTTTACAAGTTGTGGAATATGGTTGGGTTGAAACATACTGCATAATTTGCCAGCTTGTTACAGCATAAGTGGAAAATTGGATGAAAAACCTGCGCATTCAATGTATAACCAGAGATGTTGCATGAGTTGGCCAATTTTAACAAATATCTAAGCCTTGTCAAAACTTTTATGTTTTTGTCACGTTGAACCAGTGAAAATTTTAGGAGATGGCCAAATGAATGCTTTTTCAGATCAATAAAAATTCATTGTTGTGTTTCAGCTTAGAGTGTCACCACAACTCCACCTTCCAGGAAATTAATTTATTTGCTAACATGAGGGACTACCATTTAAGACTTTCCAACCTCTTCAATGTTGCCAATATCAACATTAACTCAACCTTAAAATTAAAGAGAAAACTTGAAGCCTTTTAATCGCACGGTGACATCTTAACTCAAAGTTGTTTTCCGTCGTTTCTTTAAATTTTGGCTCATTTTCCCAAACCGAAAAAGAATATTATCCACGCTCAATAGAATATCATTTCAACTGATACTGGCATCACGCACTACATATGAAGAGGAAAACGTTCTCTATCCTCGAAAATTCGTTCAAAACATAAACGAAGGAGTTTAGCTGCTTGAAATACCACACTAGCATACGTGTTTATCGCTTTGCAAGTTGTGAGGATATCGTTCCTCTGTTTCAGCTGACCTGGCAGTCAAAACTGTACTCAAAACCGTCTTTCAAAAAATGCACATACACAGTATGTTTTTAATTTGGAAACATTTTGGTGTTTTTTTTTAGCAGCCCATTTCGACTCATGAAAATTCTTATTACGAGTTGATCATTTACATTTAAGCTCAGTACGATGGATTCTCGGTACAACATTGAATCTGTAAAATATCCAGATTATCGCCAAATGCGGAGGGGGCTTAAAGGAAGGGGACTTAAATGAAGGATACTCGTTTGTTCAAACTGATTGAAGTAATATACGTAGAACATGTGTTAATTAACTTACCGCTTGTGTCTGAGTTGTTCAACAGAAAATAATGAACTTTTAGTCGAGTATTAGAACTGTACCAGTAAGAATTCACTTCCAAGTAGTTGTCCAACACCAAAACTGCAAATGGCACCTTTTGATTGCGGTTCAGCCACTCTCTTTTGTGATGGCTTCTTATTCGAGTTTCGTACCTTAACACCAAAGAAAAATTGTAAATGAAATGATTAGTCTTGCGTTGAATCACAAAACAGATTTACTAGCCTGCTAAATTTCTCAGTCGTAGCAGGTATATCACTGTTACGGATTTGTCTGAATTTGGAATACTGCCCTCATTAGCTCATTAGTTTACGTGTCTGAAGCAAGTCAGTTGCGTATCGTCGTAAAAATAATTCGTATTTAAGCAACCTATCTAAAGTGGTAAATAGTGATTTTGTATAGGCCTCATGCATGTTTACTTAGAAATACTTAGTTTTTTTTTCACCCGAGGACTCGCTTCGAGTTAACCGTAAAGTGTCAGAATTTGCGTCCCAGTGAAACCCAAGTACCAACTGATTTTCGGTATCCAGATTTAAGTCAGGATTTACTCTTTCCCATTTGGGCAGATGGTCAGGAGCTTAGGACTGGGCAGAGTTCACTCGGCGGCGTAATGAGCACTGGAGGTTGTAATATAATATTCGTCAAGAACACTTGTCGTTAAGCTAGGGGCCTGCTACCGAAATGCAAACCACAAGGCGAGAGCTGTTTAATTAGACAATCCTTTCATGAGAGAGATTAGGAAAACTTGCGTTGTAAAGATTAAAGTGATTGAAAAAACTCAAAAAATGTCTTTTTCGGTTTTTTCGGTCTCAATTCGTGACTTCTAATTTGCTCGAAAGCTTCCAGAAAGTCACGGAGAAATCCAGAATGATTGTAACTATCCAGCCCCGAACAATAATCAACGTATACCTCAGGCGGTCTACAAAAATAGTATAAGACAATAACTCACTGTGTTTATTAAATTCCTGTAGGAAAAATTCATCAAATTTAGACGCTGCGATCAAATCTTTTTTCTCCTGCATAAGCCAAATTAAATCGTCTTCCATTCCTATGTCACGGTTTACCTCACAATTGCTTCATAAATATTTGCATAGTAGCGTGATGATCTTTGTTTACAAGGTTTTCTGCGGCTTGCATCTGATAGCAAACCTCTAAATTTTTATGCCTCGATAACTATATACTTTAGAACGCACTTTACGTGCCCGCAAGTTTTTTTTTCACCACCTGAAATTAAAGATATGTGGCAGTGAATAAAAAATATTTTTTTCGTCCGTAAAGCACAAGGTTTACTTTCGTCCACTTTTAAGGTGCTGCCACTGTTTAATTTCATGAGGTCAGGCGTGAGCGAATTCAGAAAGAGTAATTACCATAGCGCCAATCAACAGTGAGAGGGTGAGTGAGAGAGTGGGTGACTCATTTGCATTTTGGAGTCCCCATGAATACTTGTTTCTACGCTTCGCGAATCTACAGGTTCAAAATGATACAAGTTATCCGTGTTGTGGTCACTGATTTAGGTCAGCTCTCTAATGGCAAGTTGCCTTGTGCAAATCATAACGTATGATAACGTAATGAACAGAGAACGAGTAGCTATTAGCTGCAGAACGATAAGCTTGATAAACAAAAAAGTGAGAATGATAAAAAAACACAGCGCAATTATTTATTTCTTACCAATAATTGACTTTGTAATGTTCAAAAACCAGAAGTATGGTGGAGTTCTCTACTGTTGAATAAATCATCCAGTCGCAAGATTTATATGAGGATGCGCTGCCAGCTTCATCAATGACGCCAGTTTTCTTATTCATCGCACCTCCACATACTTTAAAGTCGAAATAGCATAAAAATTAATTCAATGCAAAGTCAATCCTTAAACATGAAACACTGAAAACAGGTCTTGACTTCGTTCTAAGGGTTATCATCGTTTGTCCTTTCAAAAATGAAAGAGATGACCTTGTGAAAAAGTCACATTTGTCTAAAGTACCAACACAAGCGAGGTTTCTACACGGATATACGTGGCAAGAATGATAGAGTTGATAAAGAAACTAACGGTGATACAAGCATATGCACGGAAAAACGATGCGATGGATGAGGAAAAGGATGAATTTTACAACTAGCTGCAAGGCTCTGTTGCAAGCTGCAGTAATCAAGATATGATTGTGGTGACGGGAGATCTGAATGCTGAGGTAGGGAGTAACAACATTAACAGAGAGGAGGTAACGGGGAAATTTGGTGTTGGAGTCATGAATGACAATGGGAGAAGGTTATGTGACCTCTGTGGTACAAATGGATTAGCTGTAACTGGAACATTTTTCCCACATAAAGAGATCCTTAAACTAACCTCGAAGTCACCAGATGGGAAAACTGTTTACTAGATCGACCATGTTTTGGTGAATGGACCATAATTTCTGGACACAAGAGTGATGAGAGGAACAGAGGTATATAGTGACCACCGGAATAAGACTAAAATTGGTAAAGGCGCATCGGAAGAAGAGAGCAAGGGTGAGGTTTGACGTATGTAAGCTGCGGAGTGGAGAGATCAGGAGGAAATATAGCATTGAAGTAATTAAGAACAGGTTTGAAGCGCTAAGAGATTTAGATGATCCTCAGGAAGAGCAGGACAAGGTCTAGGTGACGTACAGAGATGCCACAGAAAAAGCAGAGCAAGCCATGGATAGGGGACAAAACGTGGGAAAAAATTCAAGAGAGGAAAGAGGCAAAACTGAAAATAGTGGAAAGATCGGAAAGATTAAAGCAGCAATGGAGAGAGGAGTGTAGTGCGTAAGATAAGGAAGTGAAATGAAGTGCTTGGGGAGATTAGAGGAATTGGTTGAAGGAGAGGGCTACAACAGCAGAAAAGGCCGCTGAGAATGATAGAAACAAGGAGCTATACAGCATAACAACACAATAGCCGGGGAACGGAGGAGGCGAGAAGGGGTGCTTACGACAGAATCACAAGAAAGATTTCAGATATAGGTAGAGCACTTTAGTGAAATTTCCAATAGAGATGACCCAACAAATCCAATGGAAGAAAATGAAATAAAAGAACTGGAGGAGATTAAGGAGATAGATGTTGGAAGATAGCGAATACAAGAGGTTAAGGAGGCGTTGAGGAAGACAAAGCCAAGGAAAGCGACTGGAGCAGATGAAGTGGACCCACACCTACTGAGAGATAAGATTGAGTACACCGCAAGTAGGCTGACCAGATGTTATAACAAGCTGTGGAAAACTGAAAGGTGGCCAGAAGTGTGGAAGAAGGGACTTTTAGTCAAGATTTTCAAGAAAGGTGATTTGCGTGATTTAACAACTGGAGATAGAGGATTGATTGCTACCCATCATCAGTAAGATATTCTGCAGGATGCTTCTAGAACGGATCAAGAAACGTGTAGAAAAGGAGCTATGAAAGGAGCAGGCTGGATTTAGATCGAATAGAAGTACAACTGAACGGATATTTATATTAAGACACAACTTAGAGTAGGCAAATGAATGAAGGGCGAGTCTGTACACGTAGTTTGTGGACTTTGAAAAAGCTTGCGAGATATCAGACTGTTTCAAGATTAAGTCGAGTGTAAAGCAGGGATATGTAACGTCAGGATTCTAATTCTTACTGGCCATGGATTGGATCACGAGGAAGACAATAGCAGACAACAGAGGAGGGAATCTGAAAATAGTGTTGGAGGATTAAGTTTAATGACTTGCGTGACAAGACTTGGAGATTGACGGAGGAAGCAGCCAGAGTAGACTTAATGCGAGAAAGTGCAAGACAATGAGGGCTGAATTTGCTAGGAACAGAGAGAGCATTGTGGTGAATGGTGAAGAAGTGAAAGATGTTGAGGAGTTTGCGTATATTGTAGCTATTGTAGACAAGGAAGGTGGAGGTAGTAAAGATATTAGGGACAGACTGCAGACGACACGAAATGCATTCCAGAGGCTATGAAAGGTGTGGGCAGTCAGAGGAATAGGAAGGAGAACCAAGATACGCCTATTCAAGACTTTTTGTTAATAGAAAATACCCCATGTAGGCTCTGACCTATAGTTAAAGCTAAAGCATCACATGACAAATCATTGCCTCGGTAAAACATAACAAAGATAAAAATATGACAATTTACAAGTTACTTAGTCTATTCAGTTATTTTTAAGAACCAAAAAGCAAATTACCTGACGATGTAACAGCAGCGGATGACGATGTGGGCAAAATAACTGACGAATGTGGCGTGTGACTTGTTTCTTCTGGTGCCTTTGTTCTCAAAGTCTCCAAGTAATTTGTTGGATTTACGGGACCTAAATTAGAACAGAAACCTTGAAAAGTGACTCTCTTTATGTCCTAATCTCCTATGAACTAAGTGTTTTTAATGCTATTTGGTAGCATAGTGTCGTTGAGCTTCAAGAATCATTCATCCACAATACAGTGGTGCTTTTGAAGTGCTTATTTTTCGGCCGTTAGCTTCGGGCAGCTCAAAATGACAGACGGAAGCAAATTGCTCCAACCGGACCTGATTTGCGCAGATGTCGAGAATCGATAGGTAGTTTTAGGATTCGAAGAAGCATCCCTTGGAAAAAATGTTTTTAATTAGAAGATTGAAAATAAAAAGAATACTCGGGCTTCTTTCTTTGGCCAACGGAGACGTAGAAACTGTCTTTAAAGACAAGCCTTCGCTCACTTAATAAGTTATAATTCATATAATAATCATTTAAAAATTTGCTTGCAATGTCTTCAAACCGTTCTTCAGCAATGATAATTTCGTTAACCCAAAAGCGATGACTTAGAGGGAATTTCGACTACAACAAACGATATGTGGTGAGTACTGTTTGAAAAGATAACGGAATTTTTCGAATATATATTTACCACTATACTTTCCACCATGAAACTAGTACTTTATAGATAAGTATGGTATCAGAACAAAGGGAAAGCTGTTGGTATGTATCAAAGCCTATCGCGCGAATCATACCTGATGCAAATGCAGAATGAAAAGAGTGAGAGACAAATGTCCACGAGGGCGCCAATTCAAGTAATGACGATGAATGTGACGGTGACGGTGACGGTAATAATGTCGACGACAACGATGATGATGGTAATAACACAGCTTGAGAGGAACTTGTCGGATGGATGTCTGATGAAAAAAGAAATATTGAAATACACGTTAAAAATCAGATAGGAAATGACTAATTTCGACGCGCGCATTTTCAAAGCATTGCTTAGAATGTATGTGTTATTGCACAACAACTGGACAAATGAAGAAAATAAAGATAAAAGGAAGAAAATGCAACAAAGTCAGTCCGGGCCATAGACAATTTATGGCCCTCGGAACCCAGTTCACTTGATAAAGCGCAGTTTAAGTGCCGTCCGTTGAGATATGTGGGAGAATCACAACTGGTATCAGTATCATGTAAACTTGAGGTATCTTAATAATATCGAGCGGGACTCCAAGGAAATTAATCCGTAAATATGTTATTTCATCAGTTGCTACCCTCCACGAGGTGTCTTTTAGACATCTCAACGGAAAGGGATAGATTTTCATAATTTTTATTTTGCGGAGATTTCATCGTGAACAAGAGTGCCCTTGTGTGAAAAAGCTAGGGAGCACTCTTCAAATCAAGCAAACAAACAACCGGCGGTTAAATCTGATCGAATTTTTTTTTCTTGAGACTCTTGCAGAACTACCTCTTATACGAGACATTTCCTGTAACATTCATGCGGAAATTGTAAGGGGAAAATGAACTTTGCTCCTAAAGTCGCAAAAGAAAGCAAGCTCGTATCAATTTGAAAAATTTGTATCAGATGCACCACATTTTACCGAGAAGTATATGACATAGAATTGAATCGAAAGAAACACTTCAGAGGAAGAGCTCGAAATAGACTTCTTTCACCTTTAGAGTGATCGTCAAGAAATTCTGACTGAAATGGAAATCACCGTGAACAGGAACTATCTTTGTCTTTACCGTCAGCTTACAAAGCCTGCCTAGCGTTATTTGGAGATTTTTAAAGCTGATCTTTCCATTAAATGTAGCTCTAGTGGATTTCAGCATAGGATATCACACATGAACGAAACTTTACACGCAGACTCATCTAGCAAATAGACCTTTAGCTATGTGGTCACGTGGTTTGATAGGTAAACAAGAATTCAAAATGGCTGCTCAAGTATCTCAAGTATGTACCGCAGACGACATCTTAGGGCCTTTCGGCACTTGCGAAAAAGTTGTTTATTTAAAAAAAGTTTTCTGTCATCACTAACAATATACAAGTTGCGGATAGATCTTGAAACGTACCGCCGACAAAATTTGTTCCGGGTAAAAACTTGACAAAATCGAATTGTTCCAAAAAACTCAAAGGACAAATTTTCGTTTCGTCTGTTGCATCCACATTAACAATTTGAAAGTCATCAAATTCCAGCGGCGCCAGATCTGTTTATGAGATTGGTCAGCATAAAGGGGGTAAGTTTCTAAAGGAACTGTGGTGCTGCGTCGGCGGGAGAGTATAGCAGATAATTTAGTGTGAACAACTGGGTTGAAAACGTAAATTAGACACCGTAAAGGGTAAAAAAGCTGACTTTTCGAGCGTTAGCCCTTCGTTAGAAGGATTGGAGGAATTGTGGGTTGTGTATGGGTTTGTATGCAGAAAGTGGAGCTACGCCATCGGTGGGAATATGAGGACGAGAAAACAGGAATAAATTAGTTGAATAAAAAGCGCTCGTTGATTCGGTGATTCCGTGGGGATTAAGAGTGCCGATTTGGAAGATAAATTTTTGTTCTCGTGTTTTGCGGCTTTCCGAACTGCCTAGATGTAAGGAAAGGTCGCAGACTGTCATATGTTGTTTAGAATGCCTAGCGACTGGTTTGGATGCGTCCTTGTCATTTCTTTCCACGTCGCGAAGGTGTTCTCGGAATTGGTCACCCAGTCGTCTTCCTGTTTCACCAATGTATAACTTATTGCAATAGGTGCAAGTTATGCAATAAATAACTTTGGCGGAGGTACACGTAAAGTGATCAGTGATCTTAATGGATCTCTTGGGTCTCGATATTTTCTCTCCGTTATGAATGAAAGAACAAGTTTTGCATTGTGAGCGAGCGCATTTGAAAGTTCCAGATTGGTCATTGGTTTGAAATGAACTCCTGACTAAAAAGTTGCCTATGTTTTTGTCACGTTTGAATGAAATAATTGGGGGTCGCGAAAAGATAGTGCCAGTCTGAATTGTTTTGGAGTTATTTAAAATTTTTAAGAATGATAGATTTAACTGCGTGGTTGTGAGGGTGAAATGTAAGAGTAAATGAAATGTGGTCAGCGTTTTCCTTCTCAGCCGTTTGTAGTGCTGACTGTCGATCAATTTGTTGGGCACGGTGGTGGCCCGCTTGAACGACAGAAACAGGATAGCCGCGTTTATCGAAAACTGGCTCATGGCCTCTGATTTTTCGGAAAAATCACTACATAAACGATGAAGTCTGAGAAACTGTGAAAAAGGTATGGAGTTCTTGACGTGTGATGGATGTGAAAATGAATACAACAAGTAACTATGTGAATCTGTAGGTTTGTAGCAAACACTACTGCATAAACCGTTGCTTTCAACTAACGTTTTGATGTGTAGAAAAGTCAAAGAAGTGTCGGAAATTTTCGAGGTATATTTAAGAGCCGGATGAAAGGAATTGACGGCGGTTATAAATTGAGTGAGCTTCTCTCTGGTAGAGGAGGTAGCATCGATGCAATCGTCAATATAACGGCCGAGTAATTCAGGTTTTGGGTCGTGGTATTGACTAAAAGATTGATGTTCGATAAAATCTACGAAAAGATTGAAGAAAGGATTCAGAGAAAGAGTCCAGGAGTCCAGTCCAAAGAGAAAAGATTGCCAAAGGATTCCACCCCCACTTTCCAGGATTTATCCTAAGTCGTTTTCAAATTTTGGAATCCCTGAGTTTTGCGGCAAAAGACAATTTTTGCCTTTTTAGCAAATTACACGCTCAATTATACGCTCGTCTTAGCTCATATACGACAAATGATTGACAAGTATATCACGGTTTTATTTATTTAGTCAATTTTGCCAAATTTTTACCTGGGACAAATTTTGTCGGCGGTGCGTCTGAAGATTTGTCTGCTTCGGCCAAAATTTGTCAAGTTGCGACAATCCATCCACACTTGTAAAATGTTGGCGGTGGGACAGAAGAGTTGTCTAAATAAACAACTTTGTCGCTAGTGTCGATCACTGGTCGTAAAAGCTACGGCAAATAAGCCACGACAAAAGAATCTTAAGACTGGGATTCTAAAATTTTAAATACGATTTAGGATAAATCCTCGAAACTGGATTTGGAATCCTTTGGCAAACTATGTTCGCCGGTCTTAATTAAGAACTGATCAGACGCTGACGGAATTTGACAGCTTTGAAATTTTTTACTACGGATGCAACAGACGAAACAAAAAATTGTCATGACAAAATTTGTCATCAATTCCATTATTGTCCGCGTGTGCGGAAAGTGGCTTACGGGTGAATTCGCTTCATATCCCGCTGAAATTTCCATATTCACAGATAAATCAGCACTCAGAAGACTGCAGTAATATATATTGACTTTAGTAACGAGCAGATTCTTTAGTCAAGAGTGCTGTCTGTCGCATAGTTTTAGTCGTAGTCGTGATCGATAATTCTATTTGTTTTGGCGTAGTCACCATATAATTGCCTCTATTTTGAACCAAAGAGTGAGTGTCAAAGAAGGACCATTTGTAGAGGTTGAAAAGAGTTTTTGCGAACGATAATCCCATCCACATTAATTATAAGGATAGCATATTACTTGGGAAAAGTCTTTAAAAGATAGTTTTACTGTTTTCGGTGACCTCCGAAATAAACACAGAAATATGCATATTTAATTGGGTAAAATCTGCCGCGTCAAATTTTCAAACAACTGAAAATTTCTCCCGTTTAAAAAGTCGATGGAACCTTTAACTACTTTCCTGAAATACATTCATCAAAGGGAGTGCAAACATAATCGCACCTTCGCTCTCCAAAGTTTTGATTTGTACACGAACTCGAGGATTTATTTCAAAGTGCAAACTTCCACATAACCGAAGTGACGGGCCCCGTTTTACATTTGACGTAAGTCTGTTTTTGCTGCATAAAAATTGGCCGGGGTACACCTCTAGACATGTTTTTCGGCTACACTTTGTTGCAAAAGTTACCCCAAATGCGGTTTTGAAGTGGATATAGATAAACATTCCGATGCAGGCAACTAAATCTGAGCAGAAGACGCGGGAGAACTGGATATTATGTTAGTGAAAGTCACTGTCTGATCTTGTTCACGCTTACAATTCCGTTCTTTTTTTAGGTTTCTTGATAATGTAATGAATTTAGAAATGTATGTAAATCTGACAGATAGTAGTATTTTCTAGCGTTAGTTAATGAATCTCTCTCGTCCCATAGTAAATTTACGCAGACGGAAATCACGTTGTTAAATGGGACTTACATAGCGGCCCGTGAAAACTTATAACGAAAAATAAGAAGAGTGCTTACGTTGGGAAGAGGTGAAGATCACCGGAAACAGCAACAGCTTTACGAACAGCATCTTCGCCGAACTACCAGGGTTACTGTGAATATTGATCAGCATCAGCATTTCTTTGTTGCAACGAAAATAACGCATTGAGTAATATGATCGCTCATAATCAAATCTGATCAACATTAATTCCGACTGTCTGGAGAACAAAGTCGGGGCTATTATAAAGTTGACAGGTCCCTGCGATAACAGGCGTCCCAAGGTCACGTCTGAAGAAAACGCAAACGATGAGAATGACCTACGAGACATTCTGCGAAGTTTAGACGGCTGCTTTAGTCATTTTACCGTTTGCCCAAGAACAACTGATGGCTAGATACAGGGACACCATCAAAGTAATATCCGTAAAAGCCGAGCTATGAAGGACTAGAGGTCTACAGTTTCAGGTAAATTTGTCAAAATAAGAAAGTAAAATATCCGTAATACGATGCAATATATTTCAACACTGAATTAAACTAGACTGCAGATTAAGGAAAGCGGATCAGGGTACTAACGGGGAGTTAATTTGTTTACATCGACGATTTTGGACACGATTTTGAATAGAAAAGAAAAGAACATTTAAAGGGATAAAATTGATGAACATGGTGGAAAATGTATTTTGTGACCTTGAAAACGTAGTAATTAGGCTTTTTTAGGGGAATGAAAATTTAGTCGTACCGTACCCTTTTTTTTGAATGGTATGGTCTTTCGGGAAATTTCAAATTGATTTTTGCACGTGTCATACATATGTAGGTCCCTTTCAATCACCTTTCACGAACGAAACATACTCCTGTGAAGACGTTTTATTTTTGTATTTCTTCTGAAGTTTTTATTTTACATATACATACCCTGGAACGGTAGCTTTTGGTACGGACAATCGATTCCACGTGTCAAGCATCCGTTTCTTACTGGATGAGATGGCTTTCGAAGAAAACTAATGAAGGCGTTCACGAAACTCATAAGTTCGAGTTTCATGATCTTTTGAAGGTAATGAGTCCGTTTCTTACGTTTTGTTTCATCACGATTGTTCCATCGTTCTCTTTAATTTCTTTTTTTTACCATAATAATGCTATATTGCCAGACTTCTAATATTATGCGGTACCGTGATTTCGCATGAAAGGCCTCAAATTGATTTAAATTCAAGGAAAATCGGACCTATTCAGGATTTTTATTTAGCGCTCGCCCATTCGTCAATGCGAGTGTGAAGCCTGTCGGGCGAGCGCAAATCGTGGATCACTCGCCCGGTTTGGCGAGTGGAATTTTCATTCAGTTCATAAAAAAAATGAAACTGACTGTTTTTGAAAAAAATATAAAACCTACCAGTACTTTTTACATTCTGGAAGCTTAAGAAACCTGGTACATACACACACATTCGCGTTTCGGATACGCACGAAGCCATTTGATGTATAAATATATCAAACGGCTTGTACAATAATTACATGAATTAGATAATCATAGTCATGTCACTGCTGGTCATAAACAAATCGTGCCACTGAGTTTGAAGGCAACTATGGCGACCCGACTGGCGACCCAAACAATATCTACTCACGGGTTACCACGAAGTTTTCACGCAAAGTAAGCAATTTAAGGTTTATTTATCAATTAAACTGACTTGAAACTGAAAGTAAGAGTCTTTTTTCTTTGAAGCTACTTAGTTTTGGAGAATCCATGAACACAATAATTATAAATATGCCATTGACAACACCTCACTTTGTTATTCTCCAAGACGGAACTAATCGCTAATCTTTTATTGAAAATGTGGAGATATCTTCCTGGAGTATCGATTCCCAACAAAAAGGATGTAAAAGAAATTCCTCAAAAGGCAGATTCCAGAGAGTATGAGAAGACGAGATCGAGGAAATTTTCTTCGAAACGGCCGGTTGGCCGGCCTTGGTTAAAAGATGATGAAAACAGCATGACATGTGAGTGGTGTATGGAAAACAAACAAACCTTGATTTCACAGAGCGTTTTGACTTAGAGTAAATTCATAGATGGCTGCACAAGCTATAAGGCAGAATCTATCGCCTATCACGAAAACAGTGCAGCTCATAAGCTCGCTAGCCAGTACCACAAGGCAAAACAAAATTCAGAAAAAAACCCCCGCATATTTGGCCAGGCAACAGTTGCTAAAACAGTACAGCGGGAAATTGAGGTTGTTATTCAGAAATACTCATGCAGTTGCCAAGCATAAGAAATCAATTTCAGATTACAACTGGCTTTGCGATCTAGATGAGGCAAAAGGACTGACACTGGGAAGAACACACCGGAACATCAACGCCTGTACGACATTCATGAAATACATCGCAATAACAGCTAAGGATCAAGTTGCTGACGAAAAAAAGAAAGCGAAATTCGTGAGCGTAACTTCAGATGGTGCCACAGATGCCAGCATCACTGAGCAAGAAATTGTATTTGTGTGCTATAGCAGCAAAGGCGAACCAGTCGCCGAATTTGCAGGTTTAAGGCAGCCTGTCAGCCCGGATGCCACTGGTTTATTTCAAGCCATCATGGAAGCCCTTGAAGATGTTGGACTAAATACGGAAGAGTTGGCGAAGAAATTGGTGGGGTTTGGTTGTGATAGAGCTTCCGTTATGGTCGGGAAAAAGGGGGCGTTTCAGCATATTTAACCCGTTTACAGCCCAACTGCATCACCGTGCATTGTTTTGCTCACCGACTGGAGCTTGCATTCAAAGATGCAGTAAAAGAAAACCTCCTTTACGATAGCTGTATTGTTCTTCTGATGGGCTTGTATTACTTTTACCGCAACAGTCCAAAACAGCGCCAAAGTCTGAAGCAATCCTTTTTGAGTCTAAAGCAGTCCTCTCTCATGCCAGCCCGCGTTGGTGGCACAAGATGGGTTGGACACATGGTGCTGGCCATTGAGAATTTTGTTAAAGGGTATCCTGCAATTTGTGCTCAGCTTGAAATTTGCATTACACAAAAGGTAAGAAAACATTGTTCCTAAACATTAATACTGTCATATGCGACAAACAGTTGGGATTTAAACCATTTTTAGGCCACAGATATTCATGATTTCTATATTCTTCAGTTTTTTAATATAATATATCTCAATTTTCCACGGCTTTTTAGGGAAATGCCCAAAACAAAGCCAGGGGTTACCTAAAACTTATGAAACGGCCTGATGTGATTGCATATCTCCATCTGCTGCATGATGTCCTTTCCTCTCTACGACTTCTGTCTCTCACCCTGCAGTATAACCAGACAACTTTAGCAGACGTTGGCGAGAAGATTGATGTCGCTAAAGATGTTATCAGCTCATTCAAGGAAAAGTACGAACATCTAACATTTTTGAGGCTTCTAGTGTTAATTGCTTAAACCTTTTAATTTTTTTCAGCAATGGTCCAAGACTAAAACAGTTTTTCAGAGACCATGATCCTTAGGCCTGGACGTACAGGGGTAGGCCAATGAGTGGCAACGTTTCAGCGGGAAATTTTCATGCAAAGAGTACCAAACGGTTGACTAAGGGTATCTTGGCCACTTTAGAGGCAAGGTCTGCTGACGTTTTGAATGATGTCATAGCTGCAACCTAGATAGCGAATTTCAAACAGTGGCCCTTGTATTCTAAAAAGGATGACGTTACAGGTGAAGACACAAAAATCAACCCAATAAAAAGTTTTTATTTTTGCCAAATACAGAGTGAATAAAGAAGGTCCTAATATCTTATTTATTTTTATTATTATCACGGCTTTTGGAATTAAAGAACTCCAGGTCCTCTGCCAGCACTTTGGAGGGGTGCTCCAACATGCGGAAATTGACCGTGGAACTGGAATGGGTGTTGCTCAAATCCCATCTTTATAACAAGTGAGTCGTGAACATAAGTTTCATAAAGTGATTTTCACCATGCATCGATCTTCAATATTTATGTTCGCGTGATATTTTTTAATTATCCTTTTAGATCCAAAGAACACATTCAAGAACTCAAATGGCCTGAAGTTCACAGCCTTTATCACGAAGGTCATGAAAACGTCCTTGCCGTTATAGATCTTATCGTTACCCTTCCGGCAAGTTCTTCTGCAAATGAACAGGGCTTCAGTCAGATGAAACTTACGAAGACTAGCATCCGAAACAGACTGAGCAATGCGACTCTAAATAATTCAATGGCAATTCAGATGTTGACGCCTAGTGTGAAGGAGTTTGATCCAGACCAAGCCATAAACAAATGGATGATGGGTGGAAAGAGAGAAAGAAGACCAATCTTCAATGAAGGCAGTTCAAGAAAGCGAGCCAGATTAGAGTCAAACGTTAACCTTTCAGACCTAGGTTTAAATACGCAAAAATTATGATAAATAGAACGCAGATGGAATTGGACTCGAGATTATTTCAGAGACAGTGCTTTTCTTTTTGTGGATGGGAGCATGGATGCCACAGAAAATCATAAGAAACAATTGGCAAACAATTGACAAATAATTCCTTTAGGATCACAAAATGTTTATTTACTGTAATCATAAGACAAAAATAAAGCTGTGTCTTTTAAGTGATCAAGCGACATTCCCAATAGTGGATATAACAAAACATTTTGTCGACACCGATTGTGTTCATACTTCCTCGACAAAGGCAAATAAAGTTTTGGGATCCTCCGTTGACTTGGCTTTTTAAGGTATGCACTACAGCATCGTTCGATGAACAAGTCACACCAATAATCTTCACGTCCTGCAAATGGAAGCAACGAAAAACAACTTTTCCAGTGATGGCGAGTGCTTACTGATCAGGTGAATTGTTTTTCCTTGAAATTAAATCACATACTCCTAACTACTTTACAAATGAGCTTTGAGGAGAGGAGTAACTGGGCGTTTTTTTCCATTTAGGAATAGTTCATGGACAGTAAAGATACTTAATCAAAAATTATTGCATGATTAGAAAAAAGAGACACTTACCTGCAGCTCCTTTACAGTAACTGTAGCGCGTGCCCGGTCACCTTTGGTAACACCGCCGCTCGGTTTTTCTTTGTAAGAACACAAACTTAGGTTTCCAGGCCCTGGCCGGCCGGGAGGTCCTGGCGGGCCGGGAGGCCCTGGTACCCCATGGGACCCATAACCGCCTGGAGGTCCGGCAGGGCCCTGGATGCCTGGGGAACCATTAATGCCCTGCTCACCCTTGGGACCAATGGGACCTTGCGATCCATTGATACCTGGAATGCCAGGAATGCCGGAAACACCAGGTAAACCTCTTGGCCCCGCTGGTCCGGCAGGGCCTTGGATGCCTTGGGAGCCATTAATGCCCTGCTCACCCTTGGGACCAATGGGACCTTGCGATCCATTGACACCTGGAATGCCAGGAATGCCGGAAACACCAGGCAAACGTTTACTGATCTTGGAACAAGAGAGAAAAATAATGTTTTACCAAAAGAGACAGAATCACTGGTGGTGGGGGGCGCTACTTCCCATATATCCTCCTAAATGAAATCGAAACGACGTTCTCACAACTCGCAAAATAATCTTGCTAGAAATTGTCAGCGTATAGGTCCCACATACCTTAGAGTTGTCACATCGTGTTTCACAAGGGAAAACATGGCAATCGACAAGCAGTCAAAGTATGTGAGAAATTACAAACTCTACCTAGCTGGCTACATCTTTTAGGATGCGAAGACGCTGTCCGTTTTGTAACGAACATCAGGCCGGGATCAATGCTCGTAAAGTTTATCGCTGTCGGCTCGGCTGATTTCTGTAGCGAGATTAAGGTAACATTTGCATTGTGACACTTCAATGAGAATTGTGACACTTCAATGCAAAACCAAATTAGTAAATAAAGGGTTTTCAAGGACTCTCTGTGTTAATGCAGAAACAGAGTGCTATTTATAAAATAATGAGAGTGAAACGATTTTCTGATAGATAAATACATTTGTCCAGCGACTATATAAATGGTATTAACGATTTGAAAATTACAATTTAAACTCACGATAACTAAGAGCTTAAATTTTTTAGCCTACAGGGCAAGTGTTTTTTTTTTTTTGCAATTATAGCTGCCATCTTTGATTTTACTGGCAGCGGAAGGAGGGTAAGAGATTTACGCCCTTCTAAACGTTAACTCGCCTTAGTAAGACTGCATTGCGGGCTATAAATTTTGCTGATCACGTCGCTCCAAAATTTTCATGTAGACGCATTTACTAGATCTGCTCAAAACGTACTGTGAGTACCATTTCAATCGAAGCTTGGAACTTTGAGCCGCAGCTTACACATCCAAACGAAGACATTTCCAGTGAACTCGAATTTGTCATTTAAAAGTTCTTCGCATCCTCAAACGGGCTTCGCTAAAGCAGAATCACAAACGGTCGAAAGAAACGAGCGTATCCATAACATACAGTTTTATTGCGGTAATAAGTTTCAAACTGTTGTAGAAAAACAACTGTAGGATTTATTTGCAAGACCAGTTTCGCAATTCGAATGTAAAAAATTTAGGCAGCCCGTATGATATCCCGCTGAAAAGCCCGTGAATTGACCGCTTTGCAAGTTGTGAGATCATTGTCGCTTCCCCCTCTCCCCTGAACAGAATAAACAATGCAGAATGATGAAAGTAAATAAATTTCATTGCTGGCTCTTAGCTCTTAATGACTGAATAAATTGAGTTTTAAGAAAACAATCACGGAACGTACAAATAAAAAAATAAAGCGTTTCCTCGGGTAAATAACCACGCTCTAATACGGCGCGCTTTCCCAATTAAACGCCCACCCTCTTGGCAACAATGTTAAACAAGAGCCCCTTTTCGAATAAGTGCCCCCCTTCTCCCTACAATCTCAAATTGTAGGAATACTAGAAAATCCTGTTTCTACGTTATTTATGACTTTTTGAGCTTCAACTATTGCGGAGTTATTTCATGTGCTGCGCCACTAAACAAGCGCCCCCGTCGTCGACAAAGCGCCATCCTTTCAATAAGCACCCCTCCCATAAGCTGAAATTCTAAATAAGCACCTGGGCGCTTATTCGAGGAAAAGCTGTAAAAGTATAATGAAGCGTTTTGGTGTCATTCAGCTTTGCACTCTTTGTTTGATCTGCGTTATTGCGAGTTAAGCTTGGAGACCAGTAAAGTTGAAGCCATCACAATTAAGTTAATGAAAATAGATCAACTTATCAGCCGGAAGGTATGTTGATAAGGCTAATATATTTTGCTTACGCATTCACCTTATAGCCGGAAGACCGAGGTATTGATCACCTGTTGGGTTTTGTGGGATTGCCAACAAAAAAGCCCTTGAGTTAAGAGTACTAAAAGATAGTTTCAGATGCAATTGTATTATGGAAATTTAGGAATGTGTAGTTATCTTTTCCATCAACGATGCATTCAAAACTGTTAGGTGTCTTTGCAGTGCTTGAAGTCTACTCTCGACGTCTCCTTTTGTTTCTGACGTCTGAAGCGCGTACGGAAGAAAAAAAAAATTAGTCGCTTAATGATGCAGTGTTACTTACTCTTTGTATATTATATTTCATAGCGTTTTTGTTTCTAGATTAAAAAGCAAAGGAAAGAGACGAAGAAAAAACTCATTCAACGGGGTTTAACATATATGTATCATTATTATGTCCAAGTATTTTTCACTTGTTCTCCGGAAACGCTCAATTTTCGAAAAAACAAAAGTATAAGCATACATAATACATTTTATCAGCTTTCTGTTCTTAATTTACCCTCGAGTCCGCAGAATGGCGAAACTTATTTCTCCTGAGGCCTTGTGCATTTTCTGACCATCCCTTCCTTATTAGATTTTAATTTTAAATCGCTTTTGGAAAATGCACAAGTAACTTGAAGAAGAACTTAGAGATCACTTTTTGCTCAATGGTATCTCTTACAGTTATTCAATTGCGACGTGTAACACGCAGTTCAGCTTTCGAAAGTGACCTCATGTTATTACACACAGAAACGTAAGAGATAACTGTGGCTCTTACAGCAGATTAATGCTAACGTATATCACACAGTTCAGCTTTCAAAACTGACCTTAAGCTGCTACACATAGAAACGTAAGAGAGCTTTATTAAGGTAGCAGCATAAAACCAAACAAACAAAACAAAACAGCAAGTGTTCTTGAAGATGTTTGGACCTTAAAAAATTCATAATTATAACCGATGGAAAAAAAATAAGACTATAATCAATAACAAAACTATCCTGCACGAATGAATGAATTACGGATGTGAAACCATATTGCAACTCATTAAAATCGGACTTAAATTGTTAGCCATCTAGCACATTACTGCGAAAAGAAGCCGGAAACGGCGTAGACGCTGCACAACCACAAATCAAGTCGATGTGGTGAGGAAAAATTCCGAGTTATAACGCTTAACCCCGAATTAATCTAATCAGGTAGCTAAGATTAATAAACAAAATAATGCCCTTTTATCCGTGTGATGGATCAAATATTTTTAGGCACATCATTTTAACCTCTACAACACTAGATAGTTATGGAATTTTTTATATCATACTGAAAGACCCACCATTAGGTCATTGTTCTCAACTCGAATTTCTGCTTTTCGCCCTAGCGCTGAATAACGTGATAAATCATTACCTTTTAGAGTTTGAAAAATAACTTTGATAACTAATGCGAGCCTAACCTTCAACTCGGTGTCTGAGAAGTTCTCTGCCATCTTTCTTATATGTTTGACTTCGTCAATTAAACTTCGTGACTGATTTTCCAGTCTTTCAAGTCGTTGATGTGTGATATTAAGATATCTTTGAGCATTTCCGGAGAAGCTCTCGTCACATGCAGAGGTATTTCCTCTAGCGGTTTCTCTGTTTTGCCTATCTTGTATTTCTTTCATTTCCTGCTTGGTTTCGTTTAGAATTCCCAAAAGCCCCGTCTCCTTTTCGCCGACATATTTTCCTACGGAGAGAACAGAACGGAAAAACTGTGCAAACGTCGATTTAACTTGTTCCATTTAAATTGCATTAGTAATGATAGATTAAATGGAACGATCAAGGAGAGGTTTCGAATGCACAATCTGGTTTGAATTAGATAACTGTTCTGGGTACTCAGCTGTACATGGAACTTTTTACCCGTAATTTTTGCTATTGTTCCCTAATGATCATTGAGATATCTTGGGCAAAATCCTGTTGCTATTCTGATCAGTATTCCAAATTTTTGTTATTTCGTTGATTGCGTGCCGGAAGGTTTATTTTCCTTCGCTTTAAAGGCAATTCCGGTCCTCGATATCAAACTAGTGATGGGCATGTTCTCGTCTCCTCTTGAAAAGGTACGTTTACTCGCAGAGTGGTTACAAGTAATTAACTTCATCAAACGTTAAAAGACTAAGCAGCGAGAGAGTCCCCCTCCCCCCCCAAAAAAAAAAACACAAACAAAAAAGGAACAATTATAGAAATAATCTTTTACAGAGTCTCATGTCGGAGTCTCGAATAAGATGAGCGATAACGATAATGAAAACTTTCGGAAAAGGCTTTCTCTATACCTTGCTGTGGAGTGTCGACCCTGTAATCATCATCGCTATGTCCTCGGCCAAGAACGCTGGTGATAACCCATATGTTCAGCGAAAGTGAGACAACTGAAATAGCCACGAAAACAATAACTAGCACCCGTAAAGAATGGAAAGCCCTTTGGATTTGGTTGATGAACTGCAGCTCTAGCTCATCTTTCACAGAACTCCCCGAACTCTTGGACAATCCTTTAGAGCCGGTTTCTTCTGGGATGGAATGCAAATTATGAAATAACGGCTCTTTTTTTTGTAACTGGAGTGGTAAACTGTCTCCACACTCAGGCAATCCCTCGCTAGTGCTCTCTAATGTTAGAGCTTCAGCCGGCTCCACTTTTATGCGTTTGCACCGTAGCGCCATTGATGTTATCTGAAATAGGAACCTTTCTGTATTTACTTTAAGTTGAGCAAAAGATCCCCGCGAAAATGTGAATGAGACCGTGTGGTCTAAAATTTTGATGTCAGTTAACACTTCCTATTTGTTTTGCCTTCAATCATCAAGAAACTTAAATTCCCAGAAAAGAAATTTATCTAAAAACAAAAAAGGAGCCTTAGTACTTTTCCTATGCTGCATTTGGTTTCAAGTCTGCTAAATTGTCTCTTCGAATATCCGAATCTTGATTTTTTGTTACAGAGTGAACTTTATGCATCAGTTTTTTGTTACCCTACCGAGACAGGGGAGGAATTATTGGTATGTAGCGGTAACCAGAAAAACAAATACAAATGGGCAAAACAATTACTCAAAGAAGTAAACACCGAAAATAAAATAGGTCCCACAGATTGAATTGTGACCAGAGCTTAACTCTTAGTAAGAAATCTTACATCGTAATAAAATCTGATGTATTTTTAGACTAAGAAGAGGTTTCTTTTGGGATTGTGCGCAAAAATTGATCTGATCTGTGATATAGTTCTTTCGAGTGGTTTGTGCGTGGTTTATTTGCCCAGCACAAATAACGACGCGGCTTCATCCTGATAATCTAATCACGCGATATCCTTAAAATAAACCAAGTGCCCACGTAAGCAACGCGCGTTGAAATTTAGGAAGATTTAAATTACAACCTACGACGACAATTCGCTGTCTTCTCTACTATAAGTCTATCTATCAGAGTTCCAATCTTCTCATCTCATCTTACTTCATTCTTCCCTGGTGACATTCTTTCTTACTCAAACCTTTACTTAACTATGCCTCAACCTATTTTAAATTGGCTCCTTTGTTTAGTTCGCTATTATGGAATCCAAGAACATGACCGTAAGAAAAAATGCAATCAAATACTTATTTTTGGGAAATCAAGGTAGAGTAGAAGAACGTTGGAGATCGGAGACCATAGGGGCAGGTAGACCACCCAGCCGCAATCTTTCAATCAAGGGGTGCATTTGGAAGTTCAAAACAGACACTTTAAGAGAGTGTCTCTGTAAGAGCGGTCCGGTCGATTTTGCTTGAGACACAGATTTCGCTCATTTCTTGTGTGTTGTAAGACATTCATGTACCTATACTAAAACCACAATCAGTTTGATCGGATCTCTTTATTTTTCAGAGTTTTACGGGAATTAAATTTCACTCGAACGAAGGCTTGTCATGACACTTTTCAAGACTTTAATTTAAGACAACTTTGGAGGACAATTTACAAAAAACTACGGAACTCAGCAAGCATCAAATACCCCAGCCATGTATATTAACTCTATCTTATCTATTGAGGCGACTTTCGTGAACATCACGTTTCAATCAAAGAAACAAGAAGACTTGAATGACACCTTATCGGTTCGCTTAAGTCACACACGCCAAAACAGATCAAATTCAAGGTAAATTTTTGAAAAAGTGAGGCGTTCTTAACTGATGCAACTAACATAGCTAGGAAGAAGGTGCCATAGAGAAGGTAACTACAGGAAAAAACTTTGCGGCCCGATCTTTACGAAAACTTTATAACTCCGTGAACTTACCTAATTTTCGGCAATCTCTAAGTTTGGCTGCTATTTTGAGGGACTTGTCAACATGAAGCGTACCAGATATAAACCAAGCAGGTAGATCTAAAACCGTCAGAAATACAAACGAAAGCAATTCAAATGAACTTTACTTTCAATTCAAGCGGCAAAATTTGAAATTGTTCGTTAAACTTACCATTCCTACATCCCCATGCGACCATTTCTTCCAACAATTCAAACACTACAACTAGTGTTCGAATTCCCCTCGTCGATTCCACCGTAAGAAATAACCTGTGCCACCCAAGCTTCGACTCGAATGTGAAGTGCGAATCAAATAACATAACTGCTTCATCTTCGAAGCAATATCACGCTGGTATTTTGATTTTCGGATCGACAAGAACGGTGCTCAGGAAGCGATCGCCATGTTTACCTCATAAAGGTGACCGCTGACCAGCCGTTGGGTAAAAACAATATACCACAGGTGGGGTGGGTGGCGGGCATGTCGTCATAAGATATTCGAATACATGCTTAAAAAGTTCTAGGACTCCCACTCTAAACAGCGAAGGCATGTTTCGTGGTACAGACAACTTTAATTTTTTTTGTCATAACTTTCTCCTTTAAATTAGAACTGGTATTAATTAATACAGTTATCAATAAAATTTTTAACCGGGGTACCTATATGACCTTTTTGCTTGTCATCATTGTGAAATCAGGTGTCAAAATAAGGTGTCTTTTCCACCAGAACCTTTTATTTATACCCTATTGCACGAAATGAACACTTCACTTAGAATGTTTGTTCTAGGTCATTTTTGCTGTTCCCAAGAATGTATGCAAAATGACAGAGATTTGATTCATTCAGCTGACACGTTCTTTTAAGTTATGGCGCGTGCAGGTTTTTTTTTTTTTTTTTTTTATCAAAAGTCGCGCGCGCAACACACCGGAATTGAAAATTCGTCGTAAAATCGCACGAACCTTAGAATGAGTGTAGGCAACTTTGACTTCTGGCGAGATGAAGTGGATGTTTCAAAGGACCCTCTGAGATTTTTTTCAGGACTATAACTGAGATTTGTTTATAACTATGATAATCGTCATTATTAGCGGACGGTGCTTTTTACCCATTGTTGTCATCTCATCATCGTTATCACGCCGGAAGAAGTATAAAGCCGGCCTGTTGCCTTACCTAACTGCACAGAGAATTATTCTCTCTTTTACTCCCCTTGAATCCTGGAAACTGTTCCTATTAAGATGATCAACAAGAAAGCCTTAATAATTGCTGAAATTTTTGATTAACAGAATGTAAGAAAAAATCGGTGGGGAGAGTTTTCCGCGTATCTTATAATCTGAACGATAGTTTTCAATAAAACAAATACCACTAATTCAATTTACCTTAGTTGTCTCATGTTTAAAAGTGGCGTTTCTGGAGACCGCATGATG